CTACAAAATGAGAGGCCCGCAAGGGGAGGATCGTAACAAACGTTTTCTTCTTGCTCGGACTGCGCGAAAGTTATAAAACTATTGCTCGCAACCATTCATGCTCCCAAGCCGCTCTTATTGCCGTCGCAGATTTTGAAGGCGACTCGACAGAATGAGAGACACCAAGAACGAGAGTAGGTAACGTTTTCCTCTCGCTCGGACTGCGCGAAAGTTACAAAACTTCTGCGCGCAGCCATTCATGCTCCCAAGCCGCTCTTATTGCCGTCACACTTTTTGAAGGCAAACTCGACAAAATGAGAGACACGCAAGAAGGATTGTAGGTAACGTTTTCTTCTTGCTCGGACTGCGCGAAAGGTATACAACTTCTGCGCGCAACTATTCGTGCTCCCAAGTCGCCCTTACTGCCGTCACAGTTTTTGAAGGCGAACTCGACAGAATGAGAGACTCCAAGAAGGATTGTAGGTAACGTTTGCCTCTTGCTCGGACTGCGCGAAAGTTACAAAACTATCGTGCGCAACTATTCGTGCTCCCAAGTCGCCCTTATTGCCGTCACGGTTTTTGAAGGCGAACTCGACAGAATGAGAGACTCGCAAGAAGGATTGTAGGTAACGTTTGCTCCTTGCTCGGACTGCGCGAAAGTTACAAAACTATTGTGCGCAACTATTCGTGCTCCCAAGTCGCCCTTATTGCCGTCACGGTTTTTGAAGGCGAACTCGACAGAAAGAGAGACACGTAAGAAGGATTGTAGGTAACGTTTGCTTCTTGCTCGGACTGCGCGAAAGTTACAAAACTATTGTGCGCAACTATTCGTGCTCCCAAGTCGCCCTTATTGCCGTCACAGGTTTTGAAGGCGAACTCGACAGAACGAGAGACACCAAGTCAGGAAAGCAGGTTTCCAGTGGCAAGGTGTGAACTATCGATTATCGATATTTCCCCATTTTAAGGTATGCTAAAAGATCGATTATTAAGCTGTTCGTTGCGAATACCCTGTTTATCGATCCTTTTCCGTAGGTTTAAATGGCAGATCAATCGATGTATCGCAAAGCACGCCACGCCACTGAGCGAGATACGCGAGAGCGAGAAACTGCGAACGTTCATACTGCTATTTCTTGGGAACATATCGATGGCCGAAGTGCGGAACCATGTGTCTCCGTTTGCAACGTTGCAGACTTCCTGTCATAATTTTTTTTTCCTTTGGAAAATTATTCAATGTAATTTCTAAAAAACTTCCTTGATTTGCCTTCTCTATCAGCAGAATATTCTGTACACACTTCAAGATATAAAGCTGGCTTGCTTCTCTTCGGAAAAGTAAAACGGCGGCAGAAATGGAGATGTTGCATGTGTGAGGAATTTGCGGTTTGACTGTTGATTATAGTGTAAAAGTTCGTGAGAAACACGATGGTGCCACTGGTTTTCTCTGAAATCAACTCCCAAGCTCAAAAAAAGCTCTCAAGTTGAGGCCAAAATGGAAGGGATATCCCACCCTACCCGGAGAGTCCACATCTACATCAAGACAAACTCTCCGTGCACAGATAGGGAGCAAATACATTGACAGGGCTGCCACTTTATTTGGGGTCTTTAAAACTGAAAACGCGGCAACCCTGCTAATGTATTTGCTCCCTATCTTTGCATGGAGAGTTTGTTTTGATGTAGAGGTGGACTCTCAGGGTAGGGTGGGGTATCCCCTCCATTTTGGCCTTAACTTGAGAGCTTTTTTTGAGCTTGGGAGTTGATTTCAGAAAAAACCAGTAGCACCATCGTGTTTCTCACGAACTTTTACATTATAATCAACAGTCAAACCGCAAATTCCTCACACATGCAACATCTCAATTATGAAGCACCGAGAAGATGGAGATACTTGGTTTTTGCTCTTTTAGTGCTCCAGTTTGCATGCGAACGGACACCGGGCGCTAAAAGAGATCGAACCATAAACCAGTGGCGTGGCGTGAATTGCGGTGTATCGATTGTTATTCCATTAAAACCTATGGTAAACTGCAGGGCCTGATTAAGGAGGTGGCCACATGGGCCGCGGCCCATGGTGGAAAATTTTTCAATTTTTTTAAATGTAGGTATAAAAAAATCGGATTCAGAAAAAAAAAATTATCAATGAGGAAAGGGGACAAAATCTCGCTCTCCTGAGAGTATAGTATAGTATAGTATAGTATAGTATAGTAATGTCTAATTTTGTCGTTTTTCGGGGATACAAGAGACAGCATCTTTAATTAGTCGAGTTAAGAGAGGAACTAATCACGTAATTTGGCCTGGAGCTCAGCGCAGAGAGGAATGCTGACGAGGACTTGAAACCTCGGCGCGGCGGTCGGCATTCAGCACATATTAGCGCCTATTAGACTACATGAATACCTACTTCACTCATCGTGCCAAACACAGTGCGGTCAAGAGCGGTTGACATGAAACGCATAGCCTACAAAGACTGCAGGAATACTTCACGCATTGCGTCGAACACAGTGCGATCAGCGCGGCGCAGCGGCGGAAGTTAAAATTATTAAAACACATTTATGTTTGTTCATGCATAACTTTTTGGCTCATTTCTCATAATTGGAGGACCTTGTCCACGCAGAGATAGGTGTACGGAACTTAACTTTCGCGCGAAGTTCTGTGAAATTTTGCTAGTAGTGTTGACAGGGCTCTCGCTAAAAATGTATCCAACACGAGTATAGGTAAACGCATCTTATGCACCCCTCTCCCTCCGGCACGTTCACTTGATGGTTTTTATCGATGTTTCAAAACGAATGAGAAGGGGGAGGCAAAATACAGGCGGCCCATGGGCGGCAAGTAGGTAAATCCGGCCCTGTGGTAAAGAAGCGATTATCAAGGTGTTCGTTGCGAACACCCTGTTTATCGATCCATTTCCATAGGTTTAAATGGCATAACAATCGATAAATCGCAATTGACGCCACGTCACTGCCATAAACCTTGAGTTAAGAATGAGCCAATCGACAATGTGCAAATTTAATCGTCAGATTAGGCACTTTTATGTCTTCTGGTCAAAATTTCACAACACCATATTTACAACGAAAATTATTAAAAGTAGCAACGTTTTGCGATGTACAAATTTAAACTTCTCGCCTTTTTTTTAAAAAAAAAAAAAAAAAAAAAAAAAAAAAAAAAAAACCATAATCCGCTTGAGTAAAATCGCAAACTAAACATTCCCGTTCTTTGCAGTATAAAAATTTAACAACCTCAGTATCTGCGCTTTGGCTCAACTATAACCCGTCGTTTACCTTTTGAACAATACAGGGTGGGTAAGGAACCCTGCTCATTGAGGAGCCTGCCAAAGTCTATTGAGTGCGCGATTTGATTCTCGTAGACTCAGGTTTTGTACTCAGAGATGTGAGCGGGAATATCAAATTTTTCTTCAGCTGTACCCAAAAATATCGTTAATATCTTGGTTAGGGGTCAATTTCAGTTATTTTCGTCGCGTGAATCGTGTTCTACATGAAAGTTTGTCGAGAAAACTCGTGTTTGTCTATCGGTCTACTCTGCCGTGCAAAGGAAGAACGCCGCATGAACATTCGACAGTTGCCAAATTTCCTTCGACAAAATGTTTATTTTTGAGGAAATTTATGCTCATTTTTTCTTGAAACTGTCAGACTTTTTAGATTAAATTACGTAAAACACTGTGTAAAAATTTGGAAACAAATGTTCACGATTTTCTCAGTAGATTCGATTTTTATCGGAGGAGATTTGGCAACGCCGGAAGGCTCATACGGCGTTTTTCCTTAGCCTGGCAGTATTGCAATAGCAAATCCTATCCTCTGGCTGGCTTAAGATCATGTAGCTTTTAGACCTGTCAGATCCATTTTTCTCTTTTGACGGTTTAGTGATCATTGTTCTTGTATGAACTTTTGTAAATTTTGGTTGTCATTTTAAAAATATTTTCAGAAAATTTGAAATGAAAAGTCTCGGAATAAGTAGGTAGTATCTCAAAACTTTGTTGGAGCAGACATTTTGAAGCATCACAATTGAAATACCTATGTGTTTTTCTAGTTACACAGTTTATATGCCTCTATGGAGTGAGGTCTCCTTGATGTAGGTATGCGTGAGGATTAAATGGGTCTTGATTGCAATGTTGGTTGACGGCAGCAGTTTTAATCATGCAGAGAAACTTCTTCAACTTATCGTCAAAATCAATACAAGTTTTGTTACTGCCGTGCTAAGAAAGAGCCCGGTATGAGCCTTCAGACGATGCAATATTATCCTCAATAAAAAACAAATTTACTAGGGAAATTATGAATATTTGGTTTCAAACTCGGACAATTTTGCGCACAATTCAATCTAAAATATTCGAAAATTTCAAAGAAAAATATTCATGACTTTCCTCAAAAATACCTACATGTTTTATGGGAGGAAATGGCAACTCTCGAATGTTCACGCGACTTTCTTCCTCAGCATACCAGTATTAAACTATCCTTACACGGAAGATAGGAAAAGAAATAAGTCATCCCTTCTTCCCCCTAATTTTTGTCAGAATCATACCACTGTTAATTACTTTAATGTCCGACAAGAAATTAAGTTTTCTCATACAGTCCCTACCCAAGTTGCACAGGTCGCAATAAATTGCTATCACATGGTAAAATTGGACTACAGCTTGCAATTTGGAACTACAATCTCTAGCCCATCCGTATAAACACTCATGCCCACAGGGTAACTAATGGTGCATACGTCGTTTTTAAACTGAATCAGGTAGTGTAGTTCCAAATTGCACTACTATACAGTCAAATTATTGCTATTTTATTGGAGTGTTGGGTATATTGTCAATTCACTGGAAGGATCTCCTCTTATTTAAGTGCATCGCAATAAAGTTAAAATAAGTCGCAGTTATATTGTATTGCAAATTGCCTACCTTTCTCACTCTGAGGACTCATTTTTTTTAGCGTTCTTGGGTAGCACAACTTGTTGCAATCTTTGTGAGGCATGTTTTTGTGTTTTTGCCTGGTTCCATCGTCTTGAAGTCTATTTTTTGTCTATTGCTTTCACAGGAATGGATCCTGAATGAATAGCTGTGTAGAACATGCCTCCTGCGAAGAAGAAGAAACACACGATTCCTCAAACAAAATCAAAAAATCCAAGCATCGACGACAAATTTAAGCAGGAGGCACAAGTTCAAGTGAGGAAGAATGAAGTCAGCCGAAGAAAAAGAAAAGGAACTATTATGCGTAAAGTTATGTCATCGACAAATCGCCTTAAAGGTTTTCAAACATCTTCTGATAAATCAATCAGTTCAGCCTTGCACACCCTTGATTTCTCAGACTGCATTATATCCTTTGGTCTTAACGAGAACAGAAACAATTTCAAGGAACCATGTAGGGACGTAAAGAGTGGTGGTGCAACTAAGTTAAAGCAAACTAAGTTTCCCAAAAATGAATCATCAGGTTTGGGTGCTGGACCAGAAATACCATCAAGCAAAGAAGAAATAACTGCCTCTGGGGAAAATTTCGAAAGAGAAAGTTTTGAAACAGAAGAAAATAGTATTTCAGTTAGAAAAAAGGCATCTTTAAAAGAAAGGGATAATAAAAAATATTTTGATTCCGTTAGCGCCAGTAGGTGCTGTGCTCGTAAATCAACTACCAAATGTCGAAATAGCCCATTCAATTCAGCCTCAAAAGCAACCCTCATCAAGGTTGAGGATATTAAAGTTGAGGATAGTGAAGAAGGTGAAAAAGTTTCAGTAAATAGAAGGCAGAGCAGATTAAATAATGTATTAAGGCATGGCGTTCCAAGTATTCATCATAAATCCAAAAATATCCGCCGCCAAAGATCCATCCACAAAACATTGTCTACTGAGGATTCTGCTCAACATCTCAGGAATGAATTGCAGCCTACTTTAAAGAAAATTCGTAGCTCTAAAAAGTCACCGTCGCCTAAAACAAATTGTTCCTGTCTTAAAGAAAATCCTGATGCCCTCTCAATACGCTCTCAAAAGCAAAGTTCCCAAACAAATTTTAATACTGGGGAAAACATTAAGTCAGATATTGGTTGCATTTTATACCTCGGCCTTGGAAGACCTACTCACCCTTTAGCATACCAAAACCTTAAAATGCAAGTAACCGATGGCAATATTGACAGGAGTTGGGCTAATTTTGCTGCTTCAGCTGTTCAAATGCCAAATCGCGGTCCAACTGTTTCCTGTCTTCTTGTTCCTATTGTACACAAACAGTTAGAGGACATGGCTTTAATACATCTAAAAAAAAGTTTGTGGAGAAAAACGAACGCACAAATAAGTTCTAGGTTGACCGATGAAAAAGTTATGCTACCGCATTGTAAGGAGGTAGGTGTCAGCTTTTCAAACTGTATGAACAGAAATATACCCTACCATAGGAATCAATCTAGTATTGTTAGTTTAGACAACAATACGGAATCATCCAGCAATGAAGTGATGAAAGAAGAAAAAGATGACACTGACATATATTATTCATGTGATGATAGTAGTTTAGATTTAAGGTTACATCTGACCTCTGACTCAGAATGTTCTGTCGGTAGCGGCTCAGAAAATTTTCAGACTTCAAATATTGACTCTGATTCAACTCCTTTTTCAGAAAGTAGTAAATCAGCGTCTAGCGAGAGGTATCATGATCAATCTGTAACAGCAGAAGACAGTCTGAATCACCGAAAAGTATATGGGAAAATGAGGAGATCAACAATGGCCAAAGCCATATGGAAAAAACGTAAGAAAGCGATGGGACAAATCTCCAAAAAAATTAACAGCAATGAGGAAGGATGTAGTCAAAATGAAGGTTATGAGAACTCAAACAATGTTGATATTATTGATAAAGCGAGCAGATCTTCTATAGCCAAAGCCATATGGGAGAAGCGCAAGAAAGCAACGACACAAGTCTCCAACAAAATTGACACTATTAATGAAGAAAATAGCCAAAATAAAGATGCTGCAAACTCAAACATTGTTAATATTGTTGGTAAGCGAAGCAGGTCCTTGATAGCCAAGGCCATTTGGGAAAAGCGCAAGAAAGCAATGGCACAAGTTTCAAACAAAATTGACATCAGTTACGACGGAAATCATGAAAATAAAAATGTTTGGCGTTTAAACAGGATTGTTGTTAAAGAAGAGCCACAATCAAACTTTAATGAGTCCATGAATTTGATATCAGATACAATTTGTCTGAAACCAGCTGTACCTCAAGAAACAGAACGTCAACTTCGAGGGAGGGGATCAGGGAAAACAGTGATGCAAGAACAGCCTCCTCAAGTACCTTTACAAGGCCCTATAAATATAAGTTCCATTTCTGCAGATAAAGTTGCCACCAACGATATAATTAATTGTAGAATAAATTTGGAAATTAAGCAAGAGCTTATATCAGACAATGAAAATTTAATCAATTACCATTGCACCGGGGGCAGTGATCAGAGCAAAACTGTTATCGTGAAGGAAGAGTCTGCAACAAAAGAACAAGATTGTCACAAAAAAGATTCTCTTTTAGAAAGTAATGCGCAAATAAATGATAATTCAGAAAGTATCAAACAACCTTCAGATGTAAGAGCCAAATTTCGAGGTGCCAGATTCACAAAACATCATAAAACGCTTCGCAAAGAAAAGCGATCTTTAAGGTTTAAGGCTATGTGGGAAAAACGCAAGAAATCAGTAGTACCAAATGTAAGCGAATCTGATGAATCTCTTAATCAGTTATCTCCGACAATCAAAAGTTTTGTCATTGAGTCAAAACATCATATGCACAAATATATAAACCAGGACAAGTCAGAAAGTGAAGATTGTTCTCAAGAAGTTTTGAAAACAGACCAGTTTAAGAATTTGGGCAGTCAAAAATCTGTAAATTCCGCTGATGGAAGGATTACAACAACATTGGGTCTCTCCACTTCTAAGATTGAAACATCCTTGAACAGCAGAAACTTATCTCCTCCGGAAATAGCAAAAGATCTGTCGATCCCACCAAAACCTTATCCATTACCTGCAAAAGTGTCAGAGCAGTCAATCAGTGTTAAACCTGCAGACGGCAAAATTGTTTGGCACAGCTGCAAAGAATTTGCCCACAGCAGTAATAATAATAATTTACATTGCAATGACATTATTTCAGATAATGAATCAAAGAGTGCCTCGTTAATTGGCAAGGAGAAAGATGTGGCCCCGAAACTCATCAATACAGAAACTATTAACAAATTAGACTATGGAATTACAAAGTGTGATGCTGTGAAAAGACCCCGTCGTCCTATAATACATAGCAAGGTACAAAGAAGAAGACAAGCTGGTAAGCAACGATATCTAGCTGCCAAACAAAAAGCTCTGGCTCTTAAATCAAAAGCAGAATGCGAGGAAGTCAGTCAAGAAGGTAACTCTATGTGGGGAAGTATTAGTAACAATGTCGGTAAAAATGAAAGTTTAACAGAAACCTCTGGTGCAGTTGCCCAAGAACTTCCTGAAAAATCAAAATTTATCAAAAATAAGAAAATTAGGAGGAAGCTACGCCGGATCCGGCAACAGCAAAGGTATCATAATTATTATAAATTTCAGAAAAAAGTTAAACCCATTTTGAATAGTATCATTGACTATGTTTGTAGAAAAGAGGATTTTGATAAAATGAAATTCGACTACGATGAAGACTATTGCCCTCCACCTGATGAAAGCATTCCCGAAACGAATAATCTCCCTGCTTTGATCGAAGCGGCTAGTATAAGTAAGTGGCCATCCGCTAAGAAAGATCGATGTGCAAGAGAGTTAGCACGATTGAACGTTAATTTAATTACAATTCGAGAGAAACCAACAGATGCTCCCTCTAATATGCCTGACCCTTGCCCTAAAGAGAATTGTAAGTTTGGCTGTGTTTGCACAACACTCAGCTGCAAATCTGCAAGCACTGTTCAACGCTGTTCCCGAGAGAGCTGTATTTTTGGTTGTAACTGCAATAGCCTCAGTATCCCGAAAAACCTAACTGGAGCTCCATCAATCTTAAATCCAATTATGAAAAAATTGCAAGTAGAATCGAGAAAACGCTTAGCTGTGAAAGAGTATCGAGAAACAATTTATGTAAGTGACCAAAAGGACCAGGGATCAAAAATATTTCTGAATAACAAACGGCGTGACCGCAAAATTCCAGAAAGGTTCAAGGATCACTATGTCGGAATCGATGCCATAAAAGCAGCAAAGCATGATATTGTCATGGCGAATTTCTTAAGTTCTTCCGAGTGTAGAAATTTCGAATTAAATGAACCTGCTCAACTAGAAAGCCCAATTAAAGCTGATGAGTCTGTCTTGGGCAATAGATGTATCAAACTCGAGAAACCTTTACAATTACTTGAATCTACAAAATTAGACAAGTCTCCTCATTTATCACAGGAGTCATGTGTTGAAATTTTAAAAACTGATTCATTAGACTGCAATGCTCTATGCCCTAAAACTGTCAGAATTCACTTAAAAAATCTGGTCGAAAAGCCAAGAAACTATTATTGTTTACAACATGCAGCAAGGAATTGCATCTGCCTGCCACAAGTGCGAAAAAAATTCAGAGTAAATGTCTGGGATAAACAAATCCCAAGAAATGTTTATGTGCCTGCCGCATTATGGCAATGTCGTGATTCTTTTAAAATTACAACGCCCTCTCCTCTTTGTATGGATGGTACCTGTGGCACTAGTAGAACAAGCTTGAATCTTTTTAAATATGCAAAACGGAATAAGCATAGCAGTTATGCGTTTTACCTATTGAATCAAGAACTCCATCGTTTGTCTTCCCCCTACTTTCTCACAGCAGAATGGATCTCTCCGCATATTGGTAAGTTGAAGTTAAGAGATGTACAATATGGAAAACTGAGAAATTACATCACCTACCAATTAGCTTTAGGGTCTGCTCCAACCATACGAGTAGCTCTGCAAGCCTCTCTTCAAATCTTCACCAGAAGTGCGCCTGTCTCACATGCTGGATTTCCCTCAACCATCTCAAGCGCGACACATGATACATCGCTGCTTCCAGACAAAGTGAATGCTGATACATCCAAGAGTGAGCCTCAGACCCTTGAGACTCCAGTCTTTGTTCCATTTATTGAGCAAACTGAAAATGAGGGATCAATTATTAGCAATGTTTGTTCAATTGCTTTAGAAGAGTTCGAAAAATTAGGCAAACAGGAAGACAAAGAAGGAATTGAAAATGAAGAACCCAACGTTCGTGAAATGTTGCCGGTATCTCACCAAAATTCAGAATACTCAGATAGTACTCACTTAAATAATCTTGAAACTTCACTACCAGAAAAAATTCTCAATGAATCTCATAATCCCTCTTGGTCTCTAGCTCTCAGAGATGTGCTTCCAGCGTTTAAAACCAGACATCAGTGGCTCGTATTAGATTTGCGTCAGAACTTCGACATGGTAAAACTATGTATAAAACTTAGCGGACAGAATCCCGTCGTAAAATGTTTTAGGAGACATCTATTCGACGGATTAAGTTTCAAAGCTCACTTGAATTTTACCGAGGTCGTCCGTCTTCCGCTACAAGGTGAAATTTTTTCAGTGCTCGCAGTACCTGGGCTATCATCAATTGTGTTATTTGGCCCTTTCATGCGGGATGATTCGCTCAACTTAGTGCCTTTCCAGAGAGTTGAATCCAACTCTCTGAAAATGGTCACTTTGAAAGAGATTTTTGTTCGATACAAAAAACCCCGCAAACAAACTGTTCACGATTTTCTCCTAGTGCACAATAAAGTCAGATCAACAGCCGTAGACATGTTATCAAAATCAAAAAACCCGTTCATCTACTACTATTTCTGGGAACCAGCCTGCTCTGTAGATTCTCAAGACCCTAAATATCCGTCTATTCTTAATGATAAAGCTATCCAAAATCAACCTGAGGGATTGGCAGCAAGGCTGTCGAATGAAAAGACCAACTTCACTTCAATAGTCACATCAAGAGAATCAAAATCTCTTCCTTTATCATCTGAAGTTGCTGATCCTATTAAGGGTAATCCAGCCGCCACAAATCAATGCAGGAGCCGCCCATCATCCAATCGCAAGAAGTCCCATAGACAGGTTAAAAATGTATCAGAAATGTCAAGGGAAGAAATTGCCCGGCATCTTTTGAGGATCGAAGCGGATCATTGCTACTTTAATCAAGGCAGAAATGAAGCAGAAAACTTAGATGAACATTTTCAGAGAGCAAATGTAGAAGAGAATGAGGTACAACCCATCAGACATCCTCAATTCAGCTTTGTGTCAGTTGTCGGGAAATCTGAGGATTGCAAGAAAATTTTAAGAGGTGAGTCAGAAAATGATAGAACCTCCCATTTGAAAACACGTGAAGGTGTTATTCGCATAAGAGGTCATTCACAGGGTTCTTCCTCAAAAGAATCACTGAAGATAGTTGAAGTTTTGCCGACAGTTGAACCAGACCCCTCTGATGTTGCTCCGCCAGGGTTTAAATCCAAGTACTTAATCTCATCGCTCAGAGAAGTGGGATATGTTGATGTTTTTGCCTCGATGACAACGAGTCAGTTGATTGTGAATCTATCTTACATGGAGCTAAATTTCGAGAACGTTGCGCAAGCCTCCAACTGGCTGAATAATACTTTGGGCAAATATGTTATCTTCTTCCCGGTCGACTTTAAACCTCATTGGCGGCTGATTGAGAAGAAGGAGCTTCCGCAAGATTGGAATCCTTTCGATGTGCAGCAGATTTCAAAGTATGTTTATTTGACAGAACAAGGGCCTAAAATAAAAGTTAGTAATGATGATAAGGAGAATCCAGAAAGCGACTCTGAACCATCGACTGCCAGTGTAATTGATGATAATGAAGGTGATGTTATTGACGAATTTTCAGATGATGATATTGTAGAAGCATCCCGACCTAATCCAGGGATCAAAGGGAGCGAAAAGAATTCAAAATTCAAGGATGGTAAAAAAACTTTGGCTGAAGATGAAAGAGGAAAGAGCCCGAAATTACAGAGGGAAGACAGGATCTCAGGAATCAGCGATAGAGACGAAAGTTTTAAAAGCGTGGACATTGAAGCGACTCCACAGACTGAAAAATCAGTCAAAACCTTAGAAACTGATGGACCAGAGAATCCCTCAGAAATCAAAGCTGCAGAAGAAATCCCTGTGAGCACAGATTTTAACTTTCTAGATGACCGAACCGGAGAGTGTAACTCTCTGAGCAATAACACTTCAAACGAAAGTGAGCATACTCTCACAGTCTCACAACTCGACAGAGAAGGAAGAATTTGTAAAATTAGGGAAATTAGACAGTTTGCAGAAAGCGGAAAAATGGAAAAAAGCTCAGAAATCAAAGCGAGCGATATGGTGCTTTGGAGTGAAAGTTCTCTTAATTTGGACGGTCAAAGCAAACTCACAAGTATTTCTCATGATAAACCTAAAAGTAGCAACCAAAGCGCCATCTCCTCTGAAAAAGTAGACTCTGCCCAGGAATTAAATCAATCAGCTCTGGCCGTTAGTCTCGACCAGACAGATCTTTTGAAGCGTGTTGATGGCATTATCATCGAGCAAGATGGAACCACAAGAGCACTTTCAGCTTCCGATTCAGTGATTGAGGACTCCTCAAATGCATTGTCCGTAGACGTCGTTGACTCAGAAACTGTTGAAGATCTGGCCGAAATCCTGAACCAGAAACTGATGCAGGAAAAGGCATTGCTAAAATTGGAACACGCCGCAAACAACGAATCAACTACGAATTCGGAACAAACCTTGGAAGCAAATCAAGGGATTAACGACAAAATCAGTATCCACTCTACCATTTCAAAGGACAAGAAAACAACAGCAACTAACTTCTTAGCGCCGGAAAAAGTTAGCAATGTGGTTGGCTTCCTCGAAAATGTGTTGAATGAGGAGAGTCAAACTCGTCGCCTGATCATACGAAAGAGCTCCACGACACCATCTCTGAAGATTACGAAAGGTGATGCAAGAGTAATTCGTCTTAAGGCGGGAGGAAGCCGTGATTCAAGTTCAGCCGATATTTACAAGCCGTCTGTCAACGCTTTCTCCAATAAACCAGAGCTTGTCAGACTTTTCAATCCAAGATTTTATCAGAACATCAAGCGCGATACCTCACATCCCAATGATAATCTTCTCCGAACCACTGTCATTAAAAAAGCTGTGATGAGGAAAGGAAACTCGGAAATTGGCTACAAGTTTGTCCCAAAAATTCTAAAATCGCCGTTATCAATCGATAGCAAATCTGATAGCAAACCAAAAGTCTCATTTTCCTACAGGAGTGAGGATACAGTTCGGAAAATATTGCCTAAAAGTTTAGGTATCAAAAGCAACGAAGATCCCCTGGAAGGTGGGTTTAGAAACTCTGTGACAAATGCAAAAAAGACTGAGTTTAAAATTGTGATTAATAAAAACACCAAAGCCACAACAAATCTGATTGGCCCTCCACCACTCCAACTCACTGGCATGAAATCGGCTAATGTAGTAAACCATCCAGAGAATAGTAAAAACATAGTTCTGAAGAAACCTACAAGTGGGCATCCAGTCGCTGATCAGGAAACCCGAGAAGTAAGTTTCAGCACCTCACCATTCAAGTCAAATGTTGGAAGTTTTCAAAAGTTTATCATCGTAGGTGGAGATGAAGTTCCTATAAGTAGCGCTAATTCGTACGTCCTATGTTTGGAGAAGAAACAAAATGAAATCGTGCAGAATGGCATCAGCGCATCTACCATGAAGGAAAGACCTGTTGGTGATTTGACAAGTAATTCAAATCTCTCTACCAATGAAAACAATGATAAGGAACATTCACAATATCTGGACTCAGTTCTGCGTGAGTCCATGGTTAAAGTGCAAAAGAAAGGAGGCCCTTTAAACAAGAAGACGTATAAGAAAAAGCCAAAGCAAGTTGATCTTGAGAACCCAGCCACCTTTCTTAACAAAGCAGCACATAAACGAGCAACAGTTCTCAACCAAGCGCTTAAAAAAGTACAGCAGTTGCAGATGGATACTTTCTTAGATAGAAAACAAAGAAGGAGAAGCCGGAAAAGGAAATGCTGTGAAACGCTGGATGAGGACTCTGCACCAAACCAATCTGAAGAAATGGTAGAGACAGATGATGTTGATATTCCTAACCAGATGGAGGAGATTAACAAGCACTCTGAAAATGATGAAGATGAAAAAAAGGAATTAAAGGGTATGTACATTTTGTATCCTTAAGCAAAAAAAAAAAAAAAAAAAAAAAAAACGAAAAAATAAACAGTAAGATGATTCAATTCTTTTGTCAATGCATGGACAGTGGGTCTGTCACAAACTTCCGCCAAAGCAAAAGCAGGAATTATTTTTGGTAAAGAATGGCGAAGTAGCACTCAATTTTCCTCAAAAACTATAGAGAAAAACTCACCTCTATGAGTTTTCCAATTATAGGTATATGTAGAATGTTCGATTTAAAATTTTCTAAAATAAATTTCTATTTCTTACCGTGGTTACAGGTATCTGTTATGGTGGTTACATTTACGATTTTACAATTTTCTTAATCCTGCATACACCTTCAACCACAAGTTTTTCATTCTTTTGTTAAAAGTGACCATGTGCTTAGTATGTTTGACAAATTTCAATCGAGTCTGGTGATTTTTGAATGTTAATCGATGATCTGAATTCAGACCATTTGACGTACTTATGCAAGAAGAAACTGTGTTGCATGCAAACCCTATGCGCATAGTTCTTTTTAGTTCAATTACGTCCACTTTTCAACAGCAAATTTTGTGAGAAATGGCATTTTTCCCGACTCTCAAAGATTCTCCTTGCCTTACTCACTGTACCTATGATGTAACTCTTCAATATTTCATCATTTAGAAATTTTGGAAAAATTTTAGAATAATAGTGTGCCCCTAGAGAGAGAATTATAGACTCTCAAAATGGTTTTAATTTATATCATTGCCTGTACTCCTACCTTTCATTTTTCAGCCCCTCTCTCAACCGGCAGCGGAGTTTTAGAATCAAGCCTTAGATTCAGTTTAAGAAATAAAAGGAGGAAAAAGGAGGAGGATGATGAGAGCAACGCTCAACAATTGTCAGAAGAAGACAAAAAAATTCCAGAGGCCTTAAGCAAAGAGGACAAAATTAAACTACACAATGCCAGGGAAGTCGAGCGGAGGACGGAACTACGCCAACTGGGAAAGAAACTCTTAACTGTTGCAACTGAGAATGTGCTTCCACAAGATCGTCCACAAGGTCGTTCCATTGCTACCCTTGCAATCTTGAATGTGGTAATTAACTCAATTTTTCACCTTTTTGTTTTTTTTTCTTCTTTCCTTTTTGAGCTTGAGAAGGGGAAAAGGATTCTCTACAGGTACTTAGAATGCTGGCTTGAACCTTTTATGCCCTTTTTTAATAACTTCGAAGAAAGTCTGACTAGAATGCTCGTGTTTTTAACGTGAGTCAAGTAAGCTTCCTTTCCCTCTTTTGAAACACTGCATGAAATCTCTGAGTTTTAAGCACTTTAGCTTTTCCCGTACCCAAGTAGCAGTGATCGCCATAAATAGCCATTTTATCGGTTGGTTATCGCGATTATACCGGTAACAGTATGTCGAGGTATTATTGCATTAAAAATTGCGATATATGCTGATTAAATCGCTACCCATCACAATTTTTGGTTGGATAAAATAGTGATCAATTTTCGACAGTTAAGTCGAGATTAAATTGCCATTTATCGTGATTTTTATTCAATGAATTTTCGGGCGATAAAAGTGCGGTTTTATCGCGATAAGATCAAGGATAATCGCTCAGATTTTGATGAGCCTGGCGATTTTATCATCGCAATATATAGTGATTTTTCCGTTGAAAAATACTACTTGGGTAGCTGTATAAAACTAATAATATAGTAAAAACTCAGTCATAATGTGTAAAAAACTTAGTCATAATGTGTATAATTCTCATGTTAGAAGGTCACAATAAAAAAATGGAGGAAAATGTAAAATCAATTAAATATACTAAAAAAGTTTGATGGCTACCTATTCGAAATCAGCAAAATTGAATATTCTCAAGTGGAATTTTTCAATTAAATAAAGAATGATTTAAGTCCATGAGAAAGCAGTTCTGTATGCCTAATAAAAAGTTAACGTTTTTAACCAGAAGCAGCCTTACTGTATCACCTGTTGCCCAATTTCCTCTCCTGATTTACTTTTTAACAGGAGAACATAAAGCTTCAAGGAATTGTACTGGTGAAAGAAATGAACTCATTACCAAGTATTTTGACGCGAGCTAAATTTTGGTATTATTTAAAATGATAGACCCAACAGCCTGCTGAGCGCGATTAGCTTCTAAAATCTAACTGTAGCGTTAATCCTCTCCTTGCTCACCTTGATCACAAATCAGATGTTAAAAAGGCCCAAAAAATCACTTTATAGCCCTGCTTTTCCGAAGATAAGTGCACAGTAAGTTCAATTTTAAAAGCTCCGGAGGCCGCAAGAAACATCATATCATGTACTATTGAAATTTAACTGGCGCCGAATTTCTCGGAATTCCGTGTGTATTATTCCTTTTTTTTAAAATGTCCCATCCCACCTATAATAGTTACCTGACCTATGTCAGCAATTCTTTCGTTCACGATAACTATCGTTAGATTTACGTTAGCTTCTTCAAATTTTGCAATTTTGTCCATTTTGGTCTTATGAAGAACTGTATAAATTTTCGGTTAAATCGCATTTACAGTTTACTTATAAACGGTAATTAACGTAAGTGCCCTACTTACGCTGTTTTCCACTAAACTGTTTTTATGAAAGTTCCATTCCTTGGTTTCCTTGGTAACCTTTGTTTGCTATCAGCTGATGTTTTATTTCAACTTATTTTTTTCTTTTTTTTCATTTTTTTCCTTTCTTTTTTTAATAAATCATTGCTAGGTTAGTTCTAATTTTTTTGCCAGTATTAATTCTACCTCCCCCCCCTCCCCCACCCGCAGCTAATTTTTCTAGCTCCATCACCCTCTCCCCACAACTCATTTTTCTATCGATTTTATCATTTTTTTTGTATGGCATGTCTTGCTCCCCTACCGCCATTTTTTCGGGGTTGTAGATATTTTAGCGGCCTCTAGACACGTGACTCCAGTCACGGGCATTTCGCTAGTAAAAAATAAAAGGAGATAAAGCATTTTGAAAATTAACCGATCAAGACCAATACTGTTTAAAGTTGTCTAAGTATAACAGAAATGAAAAGTGAATGGCAGGCTCAATTTTTATCATTGAATTGATGTAACCGATTTTCTTTCAGGCAAAACTAGCAGTCAAAAGAATGAAAGTGGAAAGTGAAATGTTACAGATAGAGCACAACATATTGAAGTCGAAAAACCGATTCCTCTCTGAAAAACTGAAAGACTTAGGCGCCGGTAAGTGATTTTTTGTTTTTACCTGCAGTTCTGTTCAACTAATTAGTTATGCCTAATTTCATAAACATCTGATGCTGCTGAGGCTGGTTATTTGTTTAATATATTAAATTTTTATTAACTCAATATAACATCCCTATTCCTCTATTTACATTTCATGTGTAACTAAAAACCTGTCAACCTGCTACCTTCCAACTCGGCATGCTTGAAACTGAACTCTTTTATCATGCACCCAAATTCAAGTGATCTGAAAATACAGTGAACTCTCATTGGAACGTTTCTGGGGGGGATTCAGAACCAAGTTTGTATCTAATTTAGAAAAACTCTAACTCAAAACAATTTCCTAGTATATTTCTTCAAAATTAACAGGGTTGCTGGCAGTCAGGAAAACTGGGAAAATCAAGTAAAGTCAGGGAATTTTCAGCGACCAGGAAAAGTCAAGGAATTCGTGGGAAAAATCGGGAATTTCTGACACATCTACCAATTACTAAAACGTATCACTGCTCTTCCAAATGGTTATCCTTTCTGGTTATTTTTACGGCTTGTCATTGTTTTACCAGCTACTGAATGCCTTTTTTCATACTTTGATCTCTAAACAAGGCAATTTTTTACACTAATTAGCAATAGTCAGAAAATTTTTCAGTCAGGAAAAGTCAGGGACTTTGAAGATGAATAACTTACGGCAACCCTGAATTAATCAAATATTACGTTTAAAAACATTCTTCGGAATCTGATCGGAATTAAAGTTTTGAAAAAAGTATTATTAAATACGCAGTATATTTGAAACAATTTTATGGCAAAGAAGGGCACTAAGGGCGTGGTTAATAAAAATCTTCCTAAGCTCTCTCAATTATGTGTTAAGATTTAAAATTTGGCAATCCTCTGCCCAGCCTCTGATCCTTAAGACCGCAAATTAGCAGAATCAGCATGTCACCTACATGATGCCTCTTTTCTGTCTTTGGAAGAGGCCAAACTGATTATTGTACTTGGAAAAGAGCATAATGAAAAATTTTACATTGTGAACATTTGTCTGTCGTCTATCTATGGAGGTTGATAAGAGCTCAAAAAATCAAAGGCCGTATCTGTAAAAATGCTATTTGGCAGAACGTTATAAGGAGAGTTGACTATAGTTTCCACTAAACCTCTTAAATTTCTACTTACTCTCATCTTTGCTTCCGCGGGCATAATTACTGAGACGTATCGTTCAGCTATGCTGCCCTCTACCAGTGATGTAGCCATTGAGGGAGTTCAGAGGCTCCCCTATGAAAAATTTCTGGCTATACCACTGCCTTCTACACAGCGACCTACATTTCCTCACCTCTCAACCCATCTTGTCGATCTCTTTCGGATTAATTGATCTCTGTTCAGTAACAAGCTCTTCTTATCAAATTTCTAAAGATACAATATTTCTCGTTGTAACCTTGCTATCATTTAGCCCATCAATGCATCATTTTTCTTTTTCTATTCTCCCTTGCGCTTGTCATTAACATGAACTGCTTCGATTGAAGACCGAACTAGGATCTCATGCTGTAGCCAATTCTATCTGGTCGTTTCTTTCGTTCATCTCCATCAATTTTAATTTGCTCTGTTGATTGCATTATTTTAAAAACGAATCATGAAATTGTATACACTAAAAGAAAGCTTTCTGATTCAAGAGGGATAGATACTTTTTTTTTATAAGTTCGAGAAGAAGTGAAAAAATACCGCTGCAGTTTGGATGTGTGAGTCGAGTTGCTCCAATCATTTTTCAGAGATCCATCTTACACTGCAAGTGAATGATAGCTGTAGTGTACTCTCTGAAAATGAAAAATCTCTCGTCCTGCAAAGAAGAATTTGTTTCATAATATTTTGCCTTTTACCCAATGTGAGAATCTTGTCAGTCATTCTTTTGTCTGCCAGTCATCGTGCCACAAAAAATTTGTTCAGACTCTCTGACTTCGTACCTATTGTGTAGTGATTTGTCTATCCAACATGTTGTATTCATAATCTACTGTGCTATCCTGTTCATGACCTCAACCCCTTCACCTTGCCATTATGGCTGAGCCAGTCTTCTTCAAATGTAATACCAACCTTAGTCCCAGTAAGATCCGAATCCTGTTGAAATGGAGCTGTCGCATGTGTTAGGAATTTGCGATTTAAGTACTGATGCCTATGTAGAATTTTCCAAGAAACATGATAATGCCTCTGATTTTCTCTGACATCAACTCCCAAGCTTAAAAACAGCTCTTAAAGTTCAGGTCTTTATGGAGGGGATATCCCAAGCTATGATGGAAGTCCACCTCTATATTAAGTTGCACTCTCTATGCAAAGATAAGAAGAAAATACACTAGCAAGGCTATCACTCTGTTTGGGGACTTCAAAACTGAAAACACAGCAACCCTGTTAATGTATTTGCTCCCTAATTTTGCATAGAGAGTACGTTTTAATATAGAGGTAGACTTCCAACATAGCGTGGGATATCTCCTCCATTACGGCCTCAACTTTGAGAGCTTTTTTTGAGCTTGAGAGTTGATTTCTGAGTATTCCAGTGGCATCATCGTATATTTCGCGGACTTCTACATAGGAATCAGTAATTAAATTGCAAATTCCTCACACGTGCAACTGCTCCATTATCAATTATCTATTGTCTGTCTTCGAGTAACGCAAGCTCCCATTCTCTGTGTTGGCAGCACCCAAACCCCGAAGGGCTCAACAGGGGAAATCGGCTTTCAAACGGCTTAAGAAAGCAGTTGCAAGTCGAGGCAGTAAACAAGGAAAAGCCGCGAGAAAGCCAAGGCCGAGGGAAGTCGAAAATAATACCAGTCCTGCGCCTTTTCTTCGTGATGCCTCCAAATGTGGGTCATCAAGTGGGAAATGCACAAAAGCACCAGCCAATCGCTGGCTGGTAGCTGCCAATTTTGATTAGTCGCAGAATTGTACATATTTTTCAGTAACAAGAATGTTGCCAACTGTCGTATGGTTCGTAGCATCAGTTGGAAGGATAGGTATGACATGCATGTTAGCAGTCTTTTGGTAGTAGTTTTATGTCATCAGCAACTTTTTCAAAGGTATGCTTGCCAAAGTGAAATCAACAATATTTTCATACGATCAGAAACGTCTCTTCAGCAACTGTTTTAAAATTTGACCAAAGCACTTTTTGGTGAAATAATGATGGGACAAAATTTGCTATGCGGTGTTACCATGTGAGTCGCTATGTAAGGTTTCATGTTTGGATGTCTTGCTCCAAAAACTTCCCAACTTGAAGAGGTGAAAATTTCGTTTCTTTTCAAACAAGTTGATTTCAGGATCATTCGCATGTTTTATTTCTTCCTTTGTTCTCTCTTTTTCAAAATTTTCTTTTTCATTTTACATTGAAAATATAGGCAAGAATAATTTATTGTTTTGAAAAGTACCCAACTTTAAGGTTTAAATACATTCATAATGTTGTAAAGTCAAAAGACGAAAATGTTCCATTTTTTTGGCCTCAAAGTGTTTTTTTGATAACTGCATAATATATCCAAAAAACATCATCCATTCATCAATAATTTTCAGCTTTCGTTTTTCCTTTTTCTGGATTTTTTTTTTCCTAAGTTGGACACTTTTCGGAACAAATTGTAAAGTCGCAAGATGGTTTGAGGGGCTTTTTTTTACTATAGCCACGTAACATTTCTTCAAGATACCCGTTGAAGTCATGAGATTAAAACCTCTAAGGAAAAGAATTCATCATTATATTTGCTTGATATCCACCTGTCAGGTATTTGGATCTACTGCCATCCCAAAGTTAGAAGAAAGTTACCTATCTTTTATCTGCTCATGAACCCAGTGATAGTGTGACACATAGGAAAAGTTCAAATGAGAAGCAAATACACCCAACTTCACCACTAGTTTTAGTGTATATAAGTTATCATCCAAAGACATAAAGACGGAGCACTCAAAGCAAAAAATGAAGCTTCTAGAGCTTCTTTTCAATCACCTCTACTATTGGCTAGAGGATTGGCGGCGAAATCGGGACAAGTTTGAATTCAAATGTAGGGCGGGAACAAATAAATAAAATTGCGGAAACAAAGTATTTTAGGTTGATTTTTGCCCAAATTCAGGTACACACTTATATTTTTTTAACTTTAGGTTAGTTTCAGTCCGTTGTCGACCGATTAATTTCATTTGGGAGTAACGTTGATCTAGAACTGTAACGGCCTGTTTGAACCTGCAGAACCACCATGAGCAGAAGAAAAAGTAACTTTATCTGAGATTACTGCCTGTTACCGAGCAAAAGTAGGTGTATTATATTAGGACGCAGACCGAACTTTCTTAGTATATTCGTTTTAGGAATTTAAAATACGTTTCAAAGAAGAAATGTGCAAAAATCAAGAGGACAAGTTCAAATCAAATTTCCGTTTGCCGCCATGGATTCCCGCGCTCATTTACACACTCACACAAGCGCGCAGCGCTGAACCTAGCTTCACTTTTTCCCCGTGCTTTTAGATACGAGCGCTCCGTCTTTATGTCTTTGTTATCATCAGGGTTGTAGAAACTTCTTAACCTTGTGATCAGCAAGTCACAATCAGACGCGTCCAACAATAGAGAAAGACCTCATAATGGGGTTCTAAAAATGGAAAGCCGGATGGCGTACTTTAGCTGATAGATGGGGCGTTTTCCAGAAAATCGTGTTTAAAATCCTGTGCTTCTTCTAAAATTAATGGACTTACACTACAGGGTCAGCTTTTCGGAATTATTGAGGAAAAGAGGGTTTTTCAAATAGAATGGCAAAGGCTTTTTGCTCCTTGTTCATGATTTTTAAATTATTTTTGCTCTTCGTGTTGATAAGAACCAAGCTTGAAGACAAAGTAAAATAATGTACCACAACAAAATAAGGTGAAGAATATCCTCACAACTTATCATTTTTAAGTGCTTTCTGCAAAATACTAAGTTCCTCACTACTGGATATTTCTCATTGCCGTATTCGATGTATTTTTAGAATCATTTTAAAAGGGAGTAAAAATGAACAAACTTAATCCTCACAAGATTCAGTTATTATCAATGTTGCTTTGTTTACAGGTAAAATTGTGAAAGGTAAAGTCAAAAAAAAGCCCATTGATATTACTGGAACCCCTGTATTTCAAACTTTAGAAGAACAAAGACAATCTATGTTGAAAAAATTTGAGTAAGTAATTCCTGTCACCACATTTTTTTCTTTGCATTACGGTTTTATGTCATCATCCTATTGGTTTCTTGCGTTTTCAATAATTATTTTTGGGGGGTCAAAGTGGAAGATTAAGAATGTGAACATAATTTCACTCTGGGCGGCATGCACCAAAATAAATGTTCTCATTTTCATCATAGGCCTACAAAACGATGGTGGTCTCAACCTAAGATTTATAAAAAGAGAAAAAAACCTCGAGGATTTTGGACGATTTTATAAAATTCTCGTCCAGAGAAAAGAAGATAATCCTCTTGAGTTAAATTGCACACTGAACGTTACTGCAGGGTGTCTACAAGTCCGGAATTTCTGGAAAGTCCGGAAATAGTACTAATTTTTTAAGTGCGGTCCGGAAGTACTGATAAAGAGCAGAAATTCAGCAAGGAGATCCGGAATTTTTTTCATTTCTGAGCGAGAAATTCAAATTTTTCGAATTTCGTCAAGTGGAGATACTGAGAAAGTACTGAATTTTTCTATTGAGAAGGTACTGAATTTCTGGGGAAAGTACTGTAAAATCAATGTAAAAGTACTAATTTTTGGCCAGCCTGTTTTAGCAGACACCCTGTTACTGTGACAGTCTCTGCAGTATAAAAATATGACAATCATAATCTCGATGCTAGGCATGTCCGATAGGTGGCGAATAAGAGAATACAGATCAGTTCTAATGGGTAGGTAACATGTCACCTGCACGCCAAACAGATAGGCAACCTGTGCAGAAGAAAGCACTTCAAAATGAAACGCTGGTCCTCCAAGTTGGGGGTGACTCTCTGATACTCAAAAAATTTAATGTGTTTAAAAACTTAAAAATACTATCAATGAAATTCAATGGAAAAATCGACGGAAGTTCCCAAAACGGACCCTTTTATTTGGAACTCAGAGTGTGCAAGACATTTCTAAGAAATTAACAGAAGTAGTAATGGAGTTGAAAAACCGTGAGATTGACATTGTGGTAACATCTGAAAGGAAGAAAAAAATGCCACCGATCAGAGAACCTTCCAGAGTTAAATTTTCTCCACAGTGAAGTGATGAAACATCAGTGTGCATGATGGGGTGTCACAATTCTGATCCCAAAAGAATTTCAGGAAAGCATGAAGAACTAGAAGGCTATCAATGCTTGCATGATAAAGATGAACATAGGATCTTTTGGGGTGTAACAAGAGTCGAGAATCGCAAATATTCTGAGCAAGAATGCACTCTAGATCAAGTTTGTAGATATATTGTTAGAATCTACAAAAGTAAATTTTCACCCTACTGGTATTTTTCAGCACCATCTTGGAGCTTGGTTGAGATATATATTAAACTTTGACCTTTATATCTTTTCAGAGCACGGCACGCCAAAAGGCATGAAAAATTACTGATACATGCCATTGATTTATATGCTCCCCTTGAACCAGACTCTGATGATGAGTGGGTTACTCTAGGATCTTTCCCTCTTAAATCTGAAGACAAGAGCGTAAGTATGGCACTCACCCAACTAGTCGCATCAATGTATTTGTACTTGTCAGTTCAAAAAGTGAAAGTTACAGTCAGAATCTGAAATCAATCAATTCTAAATTCTTAGTTAAAACTGGTCGCTGCAAACCAGTTTTGGCCAGGTAAAACCAAAATAACTGAGATTCCTCCTGTTGAAACGGATAGCGGAGTTAGGTGAGTAAACAGTCAAATCTGGAAAATGGCGCTCTGAGTAAAAAAGCAATTGAACATTTCAGTTTAATTTAAAGTGCCTGTAGATCATGATACAGGTTTGCATGTAAAATTGCTCAAAAATTATGGTTCGGTGCTACAATTCTGTGCACATACTAACCAGTGTATGTAGTTTCAGAAAATCCATTCTCTGAAAAAATGGCTTGTCGCAAACTTTTGCCAGAGCAGAAATAGGAGTTGTTCCTCATAGAAAGTGTCTGAAAAATCTTGATGAGTGCATCGGCAAAGTCTTAAATGCACTCCTTATTTCACAATTTGCATAAGAAATTTGCGTTTTTTCGAGCTTCCCGCTTCCTTAACGATACTACGGCACAGGTGAACATTTCGTTAGAGGAGTCATTCCATCTAACCCCTGCTCACAAGGATACTACGCAATATTCAACATAACAACATAGCCGACGTCAATCTGCCAAAACACATGTGACGGGATGATGATTCTAACCACCTGATAACAATCGGGTTTACATTCACATTTTTTTCGCGTTGATAGATTTATTCGCCTTGCTTGACCTCGTGCTCTCCTCAACTTGTGCGCGGAAGCATCGGCCATGTGGGGATTGAATGGAATGACTCATCTTAGGAAATATTCACCTCTGCTGCAGTATCCTTTTTGAAGTGGGAATCTTAGTAAAAACGCAAATTTCTTACGCAGATTTTGAAGTTAGGAGTGCATTTCAGAGTTTGCCGCTGCATTCATCGTGTTTTTTGAGACATTATTCATAAGGAACAACTCTTATTTTTGCTCCACTAAAATTTTGCAACAGGCCGGATCCGGAATAGGCTGATGCATATACATATATTATATTATACTTGGATGGATTTAAATGAGATGTACAACCGTTACACATATAAATTTAGGTATTTATTTCGCCAACGTTTTGGAGGCTCATTGCCTCCTTCATCAGGGCATGAGATGACACTAACATTACAAAAACAGACAACGAGGAAAACGGTCCGCGGTAGCGGCAAATATGACGAGATAATAAGGTGCTACACCGTCTCCTCCTTTACGCAATAGTCCTCAAATTGATTGAATTCAGTTCGGTAATTAATCGCATTGCTCTCCTTTAAGATGTGAAGTCCCTCTAAGTTAGACCGGACCTGGGTGTTGTTTTCTTGGCATAAAATTTTTACAGAATCAAAATCAAATTCATGCCGTTCATTCTTAATGTGCTGCTTAAGAGCAGTTACCTCACTTTTATTAAATTCATGGCCGTCCATTCTCTTATGGAGATATTGGGAAGTCTGACCTATATACACACCAGGGCAATCCCTGCATTGCACCTGATAAACTACATTAGATATCTTATCTTTTGACGTTCTTGCCTTAAAAGATGAATTACATTTTTTCAAGTTATTTTTGTTCTAATTGACCACTGAAATTTTATGAGGTCTGAGAGAGGCTTTCAATTTTTCTGAGACCTATGGTATGTACGGTAAAACAACAAATTCTGAATCATCTCTTGGTTTTGGGGGTGGGAATCCGTTGTAACAACAATTAATGACCTCTTTAAAAACAGAGTTGACGAGAGTGATAGGGTAACAATTTTGAATCAAGTACTTCTTAGCTACTTTTATACAATTTTCCCTAAAAACAGGATGGCTCAACAAGCATACTCTGGTTGCCAAATTTCTCACCACGTTAACCTTTTGTGCAAAGGGTTGCACTGACATGAAGTTGAGGTACCTACCCGAAAAGGAGAAAGGTCTCAACAGAAAGTTAAGCTGTGAGATTTCTCAGGCGCTATTTGTGCAAGTTAAAACGCTGCTCTAATTCCATATTGATGGTGCAACTCCTAAATCACTTATGTCGTTTGTATGTTTTTAAAGCCTCAGCTCTAATGTTACTTTTTAAAGGATAACAAAGCAACATCATCCTTTTGAAGTTTTTACAGAATTTTTGCAAACAGAGAAGAGAAATAGAAGTTTTCAAGACTTGATTTTTCCATTTGCAATGCAACCGAGGCACGTGGTTTGAGTTTCACAGTTTTCATATGCCATATTATGAAGAAAGTAGTAATTCCTGCTCACGTGTTTATTTCCTCTAATAATTAAGTATTTAATTCCAATTTTTCAGGAGTCAAGTAATGTTGAAACTTCAGGAGGTTTCAACATTATAAGCAGCATTTTAAGCAAGAATTTAAGTGGATTATAAGCAGCATTCAACTGTGTTCATTTACCTGGATCAGATCTCAGTATTCTCAACTCCTTTCACTATTGTTTGGTAAACTAAGTTATAGTTCTGTAATATCATAGTTTATTTCCTTTTATTTTTGTATCCTCTTGTTCTTGGGAATCAAGATTGCTCTATTTTTGTTTGTCCTTAATTTAATTTTCACTATTCCTTGCTAATATCTAAATCAGTCAAATCACTTCTTAAGCAAAGTGAAATTGACTTACAGATTGTTTGTTTTAAATTGTTTGGGCGGTGCTCGAATCCCATTTGGACTTGTGTCTCGGCTTACGGTGCTATGCAATGCCTTGATATTAATCAATGTTCACAATTTGAACCAACAGCTTGGGTTCACTTGATCGAAAGTTCAAAAACCTGAAGTTTGCCGGAGGATTTCTCATATTTTAAGGAGTAGTAATATTGTAGGCTAACTAGTCAAGCTGCCAGTCATCACTACTTGGGGAGTATACCTTAGATGTAGATTGTACCTCTCTGTACTGATATCTTTTCTTTCTGGTGAATCAGCCCCAAAAGAGTTATGCGCATATTTGGCATGAAAGTTTGATCAAGATGGTGAACTTAAAAATGAATTTCTCTCTATCGATCTCTTTTACGATAATCGTCTCTTTTGGTTTTTAGTTTTCTAGTGTAATTTAATTTAATTTTGTCTCTGAAGGAATGTCTCACCTCTTGGTCTCATCTGAAACCTGAAAGGAGGGCTTTATACCACTGCTCCAATTTTTAGACTTGAGGCAATTGAGTCTGATCCAATTGTTAGGCAGTTTAAATTATTGATGTCAGTTTATCCTAACGAAGAAGTCAAAACCAATCGTAGTCTATTGTTTTGTTTAGTATGTTGATTAGTAATATGCTGCAGCCTTCTTATAGCCGGTGAATTTTCCTCAGTTGTCCAGTTTTTACGTCCACCTGTGACTTTCTCGGTGCTGTTAAGTAAATGTTGATAATACTGTACTAATGAGAGGATCTCTAACCCGTAACTCGATTATTATCATTTTTTTAGACTTCTGATAATTCTTCAAAAGAGAAAAATATGGTCAAAACGCAAAACTTGACCAATAATTTCCAAGATTAGTCGACCTGTGTATTGAATTCTGGGGTCCTTTTTCTCCTCTCGATGGCCCAGAAAGATGTCAAAGACTTCAGAATAAAGAAAATAAATTCTCAATCGAAGTATTGTTTTGATTTATTTGTGACCCTGTTAGGAGGAGATTTTTAAATCAGTAGATTTTCAATTATTTATCTGTTTTAACATTTATCATTTTAACTTGACTTTTTCCCTCTCTTGCATCATTCGTCATTTGGTGTCACATTTTTTTTTATTTTCCCTACAAGAAATTTGTAAGTAGCTATGCCAACTCCTTTATTTCCTCCTACTATGTTATAGTTGCTCATATTTCTTCCTGTGATTGACCAGTGTAACCTTAGTTTCAAGCGTATTCCATACAAACTATTTGCCAAGAGACTTAAATTAGAATGTAATTGTGCTGAAAATCTGTCTATGCAAATTTTTAGATCCTTTTTCACTAGATGCAGATGTTCCAATATAATTCTTCAGTGATTATTGTACTTTTTTAAAAACTTGGAAATGTCCAATCAGATAAAAGTTTCTACAATTTAGCTTTTAGTGTGTTTTATCAAAGTCAGCGAGACAATAACTTCGAAGGTCTTATAGGTGTCGTCAGATAAGTTGACCATTCTTTACTCTCGGTTTGCAAGCGTTTTTGCGTCTATACTATCCACATGAAAACAACAGACTCTCGCAGAAGCAAGAACACAAGCTTAGACAAGTTTCTTTAATACTTTCAAACTTTGTAACACTTTAACTTTCAGCCACATGGAAGTCACAACCATATAAAAGTCGCAAAATAATAACTGATGAGTAGTTTTTTTACGATATGATCATGAGACGGATGTTTTCAAGGTGGATAATAGCAAACGCCGCTTTGTGCAGAAGCCTGAATTCATCGTCTGTGCTTGCCAACGGAAAGTAAATAATGGTCGACTTACCTGGCGACACCTCTACAGGGCCCCTTTTTTTCATGATTTGATTTAATTTTCAACTCTTACTGCTCACTCTTTTGGGCATTATATTTTCAATATGAATTAACGGCGCTATCAAGGGATTTGGTACTCTCTCACGCAGTACCATTTTACTGTCCTTCTATTTGTTTGTTATTCTCTAAGTTAAAAATGTATTCTTTTTCAGGATACTTTGTTGTTCTTTTCTGTGTTTATTTTTTGTTATTACTTTATGTACCATAAATTAAGTATTTCGTGTAAGATTTTTTTTGTAATTTAATCAATGACTTTTTTTTAAAATTCGTGATAGCTCTCCAACTTTCAGTAATTTTCTTTATTGAATTTTTACTGTCCTCTCTTTCACGTATTTTCTTTTATATATCCATAGGTTTTTTTGTTCGAAAGGAAAATCTATTCGGCTAAACTTTTTTCCTGTTCTATTTTGGAACAATCTGTAGAGGCTACAGTACTTTTTTCCAAGGGAATATTAAACCTTTCATTCTTTGTTTTATTTTTAAGCTCTGTGTTTTCCGAAAATTAAGCTGTAAGATTAGTTCTTAAATTTTGAAATGTCTTGTACCTTGTTAAGGAAGATTTGTTGACTCTGCCCTGTTATATTTTCTTAATTCCTCATATGATTTTTAACCATATTGGTTATTGTAAAGTGTATATAAGCAATTAAAACAGAATTAAAATTTTCTTCAAACTATTTGAGTTTGTGTTGTTTGTTATACTGAAAACTGTGTGCTATGAGTTTCTCCTGAGCAGATATGCATAAGAGAAGCTTAAGATGCTTTTACAGATAGGTAATCCGAAAATATTAATCCCTTTTCATATAATATTCAGATCAATGCATTCCACTCACGAGATTTCGACAGCAGTAGGTTTCTAGCGATTGGAGTTGAGCTTGTATTTGACAATTAAATCGAAGTTGTATTGTGAAAAAAAAATGTATCTTGATCGCGACGTTTCATAAGGGCCACATACACAGTCTAGTTCGACGCTTGTTAAATTTTGATAATATTTGATATGATGTTCCTCACTCCAACTCCTATTTATGGTTCTACTACCTATAACTACCCTCTCATAAAAATTGTATTCTGATAGTGAACAAATGAGCCAGAATTGAAATGAAGAATGTGACAGTAAGTAAGAGAATTTGTAGAAGAATTATTGTTCTCCACTCAAGTAGGCACCTGTTAATCAAATCAACGAATCGGTCTGCTAAACAACTTCTTACCCCCTAAAATGCTAAGTAAATTAAGCTACATGCACCATAAGATGTTCATCACACCCCATGGTTTTTTTGCAAAATATTGAGGACCTTATGTTAATGCGTAGGTAATAGTGATAAATAAGCACCTTACTTTCATCGTAAATTCTTGTGAGTTCAACTCTAACTTTTTAAACTAACGCAAATTTTTTAAAACATTTTCCAATATTCTAAATATGAGTATTAAGAAAACTATAATCAACTTCGACTTGTTGTTATTTCCTTCAAATGCCTTCTTGAAACCCTCTACATTTTTTGAAAATCTTACATCTTGAAAAATTTTTGAAAATCTTAGAGTGCCTGCCGAGAATTTTTTTTTGAACTCTTAATAAGTAAATATTTTCAATTTTTTTTTAAATATTTAGAAAATAGTTTAGAACTTTTTTAAATGTTTTGAAAGTCTTTCAAATGAAGCATTTTTCAAATCGTCTGAAAATCTCTCAAATCTTTCGCTCTCGTATATCTCACGCTAATTTTTGCATCTAATAATGCAGCAATACCTCAAGCGATTGTTTAAATCATTAGGGGAGCCATCAATGTACTTACAGAGAGGAAGCCTTACATTGACACATTGACGCATACTTTGGGAAATATTTTATAACTGGGGACCTGCGAGGTACCGCAGAATCCTGGGTGAGCTTGCGCAAGCTCTTTTGGGAACCAGTCGATTTGACAACGCTGCTGTCCATGGATTTTCATTCATAAAACCTGTTTTGAACCAGTGGGCCCACTCTTTTCCTCCAGTATTACCTACGCTCTGGTAATATCGAAAACCCAGCTGGAAGACACTTCATCACTTCAACGAGCAGGTTACCAAATTATTGCTCTTGGGTTAGTGTTCGAGATACAGAATTTTCCAAGAATTTCCCAGGTACTCGGGGAGTGATAATTCAATGCAATATTCGACAACACTGTTTGAAGGTAAACTTCCACCACCAAACCTAACCTAACTTCTCAATGAACTTTCAGTTTCCGACATTGGGTCGTTCGCCTTTATATTTTGCAGATTTACTCTTTGTGTCGTTATTTGATAAGGAAAAATAATTTGCTTATTCGTACTGGAAGCTCAACCGCCGTGAAAGTCCATGTTTGTTGTGCTCGATCATGTGAATAACTGTGTAAGTGATGATTTCTCTCAAGCATCTTTCTAAAAACTGTGCTCTTCTTGGATAAAATTAGAATGTGGCCATGAAATCAGATTTTTCCCCTTATATCAAATTACAGGTGTGTTGAAATCTGTGATTCTGTTTTCTATCAGCAGATATTGGTACGCACATCGAATGTTTAGACCTCAGCGATTTATTATTTTGTTAACTCTAAACTCTGGTGTAGGATGAACCCCTTGTATGGTAATTAGCCAGAAACTAGCATATATTTATGAACATTCTTCTCTCACTCAGCTCATATCCACTCATTAATCACCTGTTTCAAACAGGTTCTCCCTACTCACTTGGCCAATTTCCTCTTAATGCACTCAAGCCTGCTACATAAAGTGTCTATCGCCTTGCGAGTGATAATGCTTCGCGCGCATTGCATCACCTATCTTATCGAACTCATATCATTAGTGAATATCTTGGCGGATAAATTGATAATTTGAAATTCTTTCACTTCGTCTCTACTCAGTAGATTTGGAAGTGGGCGCTTGCATGACTTAGTCTTTAAGCTGGGGAGACAAAATCGAACTCGCCTTTCCCGTGAATTGAAAAGCGAGCTGTGTCGAATACAGCGAAATCCAAATTTTCTCAAGTCTCAAGATGGCTGGCTGAAACCCTAAACAAAGCCCAGTTTTATTTATTTAAAAACAAATTGAACCTTATGGAGTTCGATAGTGTCTGCCATTGAGGAAAAGGGAGGATTCACTTACTTTTTCTGAAGATGAATCAAGTGTCGGTCAGCTCCTTTCCGCATAGTGTGATATATTCAACTCTCATCATTTTTTTGCAAGTGCACCTTAACTTTATCAAATGGAACTTGTTGGTGATTTTATTATCTGATTTTGTACTATGAAGTAATATCTTTAAGTAGATCCATTTGCCATGAGGCACTCGTAAAGAAAGGCCAATTATTCTCCGAAGTTTATTTGCCTGTTAATAACATAGAACTAGGAATGAAAGAAAAGTAAAATTATTTAGGAACTGGACAATTAAAGTCAGGTAAATGATGCGTTCTTAGAAGTGCGCAAGCACAACACAAACATCTCTCCAAGGAGCGCATGGACTGCAACAGTTACTAGAAAAACAGTATAATCGTTCGTAATGTTTTAAAATATTACCATGCAGATTTCCATATGCGAAAGAGGAAGATGATGATAATTGTCGACCTTTTACACCTAGATCACCTAGATATAGGTGGGTTCAATGTAGCCTCTATATTCCCACAAATTTTTAAATATTCCAAGTATGCAAGGCGGACTGTAACGTGCAATGTCTCGGCACACTACTGTACAGTTTATTATATTTACTTTTCTCCTCAGACTTACTTTATCTTCAAATTTTTTATTTGCATTCCAACAGGCATGGTTGAGTGGTTTTCTCTGAAGGAGGAACTTCGCTGAAATACGAAGGCAATGCAAAGATTAATGTGAGGTGCTAGAAAACTAAGCATTCAAGAATCAGCAGTGTATTTCAATCCTTCATTGTTTTTCTGTTCGATCAATTGAAGTCGCATCATGTCAGGTAAACTATGCAGTATACTTACAAGGGGAGGTCACCAGGTGTCTTGCCTAGATTTTGATAGGAGTGCAACCTGAAGTTTCTACTCGCTAAACTATCTGACCCTAGGTATTTTGCCGTTTTTCCAAATGGGCTTCGGATGAGCCCCCAAAAAATCCAAAATATTTGAAAAGTTTTGCTTGCTAAGATGTCAAAGTAACATCCTTGTACCGTATTGTATAGTACTGAAATAGTGTGGAAGCTTAAAGGTATGTGCTTGGACTGGGAGATCTCTGGTTCAAAGCCCGGCAAACCCTTTATAACTCTTAATGGCTTCTATGACGCTATGCTTGATTTTTTCATATTCCCTCCCAGCTATAAATTAATGTAGATGAAATTTGTTATTTTTTACTCTTAAATCAAATTAGATAAATTTATGGTGTCCACCTAGCACTAGATAAAACTGCAATGAGGAAACATGTACTTTCATTTCCTGTTTAGTGATCCATTCTTATGGTAAAATCATTCTAGATTTTTTCAGTCAGAATGATTTGGATTGCATTTTGCAAGAAGGAACCAAGAGCATTCCAGTGCTGCTAGGATTATGCAAGTTACATTCTTTGAAATAAAAGTATTGCAATCATGTAAAAAATTAAAGTTTCAAAGGTAATTTTCGTCTTGAATTTATATCTAACAGGGAGTAAATATAAGACTTGTTTAGATGATCAGTTTATATTTGCAATGTAAAAAACGTTGCACAATGTGAGGAACATTTGAATGCTCTTGGTTCCTTTTTGCAATCCATTTACAACTCATCCGCAATGAAGACTGCAAGTTATTTCAGTCATTAATGCATGTGTTTTATTTTATAGGCCCAAGAAGGATGAGAAGACCCAATTTAAAAGTAATGGTACCAGATGAAGCTCCTGTTATGTAAGTTCCAAAAAGATTAATTATTTTTAAAAATAATTAATGCAGTATGAGCCCAGTAAATCAAGGTAATGGCAATAAAAGGAGGAAACGCAACAATGAAAGGGCAGCTTTAAAAACGTATGCACCTAGTGACATTCGCCATCACCCAATGTTTGCAATTTTTCAAAAATTCTGTAAATGTTGTAACCCTTTTTAATTTTCCAGGACTGGGAAAGAATTTGAAATGCTTATTAATGACAAAAATTTAATTTGGGTGAAAAACGACTCTGTGGTCAAATCTGTAGCCTACCCCTATTTCCATCCTGTTTGTTTTTAATTTTTCCTGGATCCATAAAGTATTTATGCAAGGTAAACAGAACTCAACTGTCTATGAAACATCTTTTGAGAATGATTTTCATAACTTTCTTCAGTTTGAAGGAGGACAACCTTTCAAAAAGTGTAGGAGCATTTACTTCATTTTTGCTGGGATAATCTTACTTGCTAAGTAATCTCTCAGAAAACAATCTCCTTCATCCAGTATGGCCACTTTCCTTGGTTCGCCCCTTTCCGAAGTAGCAAGTGTAAGAAGACAAAGAAAGTTGAAAGGGGAAAAAAAACATATTTCCAATACAGTATTAAAATAAAGATCCATTCCATCTCAGGAGTAACAGATTTTGCAGAACTGAATGAGGATCTAATTAATCGGGATCAGAGGCGGATCCAGCAATTTGGCAACGCCAGATTCCCTCCATTTAAACCTATGTTAAATAATCAATTTTCGTCCGAGCATTTGGCCCCTCCAGGAATCGATACATTTCCATACTTAGTATTAAATTGAGAAGAACAATGTTTCCAATTTATTGGATCTGCCAATGATCAGGATGCTCATTTTTGCGGCAAAGTATTTTGAAAACCTAATTTTCTTGCTCTATCAAAAGTTTTTTAAAACCCTTTTGTTTCTTTCGCAGGAATCTTCCTCCAAACCTAGACAGGAGAACAACGATCACCATCGGTGATCAGACATTTGTTGTTGAAGCTGATGATCTGGAAAAAATATGTGACCTAGGACGTGGGGCATACGGTGTTGTTGAAAAAATGCGTCATGTTTCAACTGGGACTATAATGGCTGTGAAAGTAAGTTGCCTAGTCAGCCAAACAATGCGAAATCTATGACATGAATAGTGGTATCTTGTAGTTATTTCATCTTGTGACCTGAAAATTATGCACAGTTAACTTTTAAGATTTTAAATTTTAAAACATTTTAAATGAAGCTTAATGTCTCGCAGAAAAATTCAGTGAGCATACAGTCAATCCTTTCTATTTACGTATGCAAGTAGTAAAAGTTTGCCAGGTGCAAAGCCGGAAAAGAAATTGCCAAAAACAAATGATGATAAATAATCAAAAAATGATGTGCCTTTTTTTCGTAGCAAACATGAATTTAGAGTAGGTAGTAGAAACAAATGGTACCTACAGGCCATCATTTTTCCTTTTTTCACCATTATCATAGTGGACCAACGAATTAGATTTTGTCTGGCTTTAAGATATGCCACAATGCCCTCAAATGAGCCGTCCTAAAAAAAATTTGTACCAGTATCAATTAATGTATTCAGCTAATCTTGAATTTTCTGATTAACTCACTTTTTTTTAAGTCCCATATTGGATAACAATTTCTCAATATAATACCTATTTTAAGCCATTAGCGGCTCATCTTAAGGTGCTTTTAACGAATTTTAAATTCATAAGCCAATTGTAAAAAAAGGAAGAACGAAATCACCAACTTATTTCGTATGCCACTTTTGTTACTGTGAGATCATAGATATGTGCCTGTGCCCACAACCAGATTAAAGTAGGCCAGAGGGGAGAATCAGTTGGGCCACCTAGTTTTCCAGCTGACTGTTTAACAAGTCTTTGTCCTCCTTCAACTCGTCGATTTCCAATTGCTCAAGTAAATTCAATTTTCTACTTTTGGCGCATGCATGCAACATTTTCATGGTACATTCCTCTAGTTTGTGCCTGGTTTCTGCCCGGTTTCCGTTACAAGGTTGCTGAGTGCCAATTTTCCATTTTCCTCTATTTGGCAATATTAAAATAGCGATTGACTGTAACAAAAATTTGCCAACCGTTCTAGGCAGAGCGGTCAAAATACAATGACTCTTAATATGCTGACTAATTTTTTTCCAGAGAATTGCCGTCACAGTAAACACTTTGGAACAGAAGCGGCTTCTGACAGACCTGGATGTATCGATGAGATCATCTGACTGTCCTTACACTGTCCAATTCTATGGTGCTTTATTCAGGGAAGGGGATGTCTGGATTTGTATGGAAGTGATGGACACCAGTTTAGATAAGTTCTACCCAAAAGTCTATAAAAATAATAGGTCGATTCCAGAGAACATTCTTGGAGCCATCACAGTAGCTGTAAGTTCACTCGATCTTCTTCTAAAGTTTCAAAATATGTTTTTCCATGCAGGTGATTGTTGACAAAAGGGAGGCAATCAGTTCAACAATTATGTTTTAGCTCATTTCAATCAGTTTTATAGTGCAAGAAGTGAAGCTACTTCAGACAATATACGAATTCGCTTCGACTTATCAAAAGTTTGCCTCAGTATACAATGACATGGTATAATATTTGTATTGCATTTTGCAAAAAGAAACCAAGAGCATTCCAATGCTGCTAAGATTGTGCAACTTACAATCTTTGTAATAAAATCACTGACATTATGCAAGAAGTTAAATTTTCAAAGGTAATTTTTGTCTTGAATTTATAGTTTATTGGGAATAAGGATGAAATTTAATTAAATGATCAGTCTATAGTTGCAAGGTTAAAAAGTTGCACAATCTTAGCAACAATGGTCTAGGATAAGAGTTTAACAAAACATATAAATTGCAATTGTAAAATAAACTAGTTAGTTTTTATCTTAAAATTGTACAGAAGTACAAGGTTTGATCAGGTTGTACAGGGTGTTTCAGACCACCCGTACCAGGCCTTTTTCTCAGTTGGTATAGGTCGTAGGAAGTCGGAGACCGCGGGGGTGAATAGGGAGTTGACCCCAAGGAATCCGAATTTCGTGGTCCCGAAACCCCCCCACCATCCCTTGGGGGGTAAAGGGGGGGTCACGATGCTAAAAGTCACTGTTTCCGACCGAATTGCAGATAGATCGCATCAGAATTGATAAGCACGGAAAATTTCACGTGGAATTGACCCCTAAAAATCCAAAATCGGACCATCCAAGGCCCAAAAATGACCCCCTAAAGAGGGGGACAGTACCCTCCTCCATAATTTCTCTTTGGTCTCAAAATTGACGTAGATTCTCCAGAAAAAGACAGTTTCCCAGGTAATCGACCACGAGAAATCCAAATTTCATGGTCCCGAAGCTCCTCTAGCCCCCCTTGGGGGGTAAACGGGGGGGCCCAATTTTAAAAATCGGGGCTCCTTTCCGAATCGCAAATTGATTGCATCGAAATTGAGGAGCAAAACACATTTACATCTTAAGTGACTCCTAAGAGTTCTAATAGACCCCCTGAACGGCAGAAAGTAACTCCCTGAGGAAATCCCTGAGGCCAAAAATTTCTCAAGATTCCTCTTTGGTCGCAAAATTGACGTCGATTCTCCAGAAAAAGACGATTTCCCATGTAATTGACCCCGAGGACTCTTAATTTCATGTTCCCTGAGCTCCTCGGGGTCAATTACATGGGAAATCGTCTTTTTCTGGAGAATCGACGTCTATTTTGCGACCAAAGAGGAATCTTGAGAAATTTTTGGCGGGGGCGAAGCCCCCCTCCTCAGGGAGTTACTTTCTGCCGTTCAGGGGGTCTATTAGAACTCTTAGGAGTCACTTAAGATGTAAATGTGTTTTGCTCCTCAATTTGGATGCAATCAATTTGCGATTCGGAAAGGAGCCCCGATTTTTAAAATTGGGCCCCCCCGTTTACCCCCCAAGGGGGGCTAGAGAAGCTTCGGGACCATGAAATTTGGATTTCTCGTGGTCGATTACCTGGGAAACTGTCTTTTTCTGGAGAATCTACGTCAATTTTGAGACCAAAGAGAAATTATGGAGGAGGGTACTGTCCCCCTCTTTAGGGGGTCATTTTTGGGCCTTGGATGGTCCGATTTTGGATTTTATGGGGTCAATTCCACGTGAAATTTTCCGTGCTTATCAATTCTGATGCGATCTATCTGCAATTCGGTCGGAAACAGTGACTTTTAGCATCGTGACCCCCCCTTTACCCCCCAAGGGGGGTGGGGGGGTTTCGGGACCTTGAAATTCGGATTCCTTGGGGTCAATTCCCTATTCATCCCCGCGGTCTCCGACTTCCTACGACCTATACCAACCGAGAAAAAGGCCTGGTACAGGTGGTCTGAAACACCCTGTATTATTGAAATTCTTGTGGTTCCTTTTTGCAAAATGCAATCCATCTCTTGTTTTATTTACATAATAAAAATAAACTCAATTGAGGATTTCTACAATGTCAAAACTGACAGATCAGTAATAAATATAAGCTGCTAAACGATGCTTTGTGTAAAATTGATTCCCTGGCTTCCCGCCTGGATATTTTTGGTTTTTGGCAATTATGATAAGAGATACTTTCAGCGAATTTTTTTCAAGTAGCTTTACAGCACAACCAACTGTGGTGACTGTTTTTTCAGTGCCTACCACCAGTGTTCTACCCTCCACCTTAAATTTTAGAAGCCACCTGGACCGAAAAGTTCATTTTTAAAAAGTATTACTTCACTATTAGTTTGCTTATAAATTTAAAAAAAAAAGGGGGGGGGGAACTCTTAAACAGATGTATCGTTCGCCTACTCATCTCACCTGACAGTCAGGAGATACTGATTAGATTGGAATTCTTTTTGACTACTTTTCCCTCTCTATTTCAAGGGCTTGTTTATCAATAATTTTGTACTGTTTTTCAGGTTGTGAGTGCATTAGATTACTTATATGCTAAACTGCGTGTCATTCATCGAGATGTAAAGCCGTCCAATATTTTAATCAGTCGCAACGGAGCTGTCAAAATGTGTGATTTTGGGATCTCAGGTTACCTTGTTGATTCGGTTGCCAAAACTATTGATGCTGGCTGCAAACCCTATATGGCTGTAAGTGAACAATTTTGTTTTCCTTTCTCACCATCCGTACTCACAAATATTTGCAAATCATATGGTATTGCACTACAAGGGGTACTTCAGATACAAGATATGAGAGAGAAGCTTTGGCAAAAATTGTCTCTAATCTCATTTAACTCAGTCTTACTCATTAACTAAGTGCCCTGGCTTCTCACCTCCTTTGTTCTCCAACATTCTATTTCGTTTTCTATGAGATGACCTTTTCGTTCATCGTACGCAAAGTTTCTATTGAGTTTCACAAGCTAAAGATGAGCTAAAAGCTAATTTGTAAAGTAATTTTTGTGCAATTCACCTAAAATTTTCTCAAGGACAGGGCTTAAAAAGTTTAAAGTATATAATTTGAAGAGAATAATAATGTATAAGACTCTTTTGCTTTATTTATTTTATTAAAATTGAACAAGTTTTAAGGGCGCTACCCTCACCCTCACGTGTAATCTGCGATGGGTTATTGGGTTAGCTAAGAGTTACTGCTGAGGATGAAGGCAGTGCCCCCGAAATACGTTCAATTTCAATAAAGTAAATAGTGCAAGTGAGTCCTATACATTATCACTTTTTACGTATTAAACTTGTTCTGACTTCATGAGTGTTTCTACATAATTTGAAGAGAGTTTAAGAATGCTCCAGTGCAAAATTTACCTCGAAAATAAAATGAAGTAGGTTTTGTAACAGCAAGAAACCCTCCTAAATGAGCACAAAATCGCCATCCTGATGCCTACACTAATAAAATTTTAACTGCTCTATAGTTCATTCTACGAAAAATTCTCGGATTCTTTAAAATGATCATATAAATTTGATATCCTGGATTATCGATCAGCAATTAAATTGTTGGAGTGTTGTAGTTATTTGGTTCGTTCACTTATTTGCTCATTCGTTTTTCAGCCAGAACGTATTGATCCCACCGGAAACCCTGCCAACTATGACATTCGAAGTGATGTTTGGAGCTTAGGAATTTCGCTGATAGAATTAGCCACGGGCAGATTTCCGTACGACAGTTGGGGCACTCCATTTGAGCAGTTGAAACAAGTAGTCAAAGACGACCCTCCAGCACTCCCGCCTGGAAAATTCTCAACGCAATTTGAAGATGTCATCCTTAAGTGGTAAGACTATGTCCATTAGTGGAAGTTTATGATCAGTTTGAGCCCATTAAATCGGTAATTAGTAGAGACTCCACGTACAGAGTTGCAATAGTACGAAAATACTGGGAATGTCAGGGAATTTTAAAAGTCAGGAAAGAAGACACAAGCGCCAAGAAAAAATTATTAAGTCACCTTTATTTGCTATCTAGAACGGGTTTGAAGAGACAAGGTTCCAACAAGAGATATTGCGTGAAAACAATTTCAAATTATGTTTTTTTAACAGAAACTCAACAACAAAAAAAAAAAAAAAACACTGAGAATGTTGTCAGAATACCATAAGTAATAGGATGATAGAATAGTGCTAGGTCCACATTTTGGGGGAAATCAAAGTAAAAAAATAAAATTTTAACCAGAGATGCGTTCGTTATGGACAACAGAGAAAAAACTGACAAGTTTTCCATTCGGTGAACTGCTTTCCAACTGCTTGTCACGTGACTCATGGCGGCAGCACACCCAGTTTTAGGTTACGTATACTCAACAATCCAGCTCCGCAGTCCCTAAGGGTGCTGAGATTCCCGCTGAGCTGTTTAGCCGTCATGACAGTCAGCGGGTAATCAGCAACGAACCAATGCGAGCTCAAGAACGATCATCAAACATTCAGCTACAGAAGGACCGTTGTCTACAAAGAACATACCTATTAGAGTCACAAAATGAACCCTAATGAGTTTATGAATGCGAGACTGGGGAGCAGAATGTTCAGTTCAGGTAGATGCATGAGAATATGGACGCGAGAGATACAAATCGGTTTGGGTCTTTTTAGGACTCATCACTACTCATCTGCAGAGCACAGCTTTATTTTTCGTTTTAGAAACTCGGTAAAAATATTCTAATCAATTTTTCTCTTGGCAGACTTCTTTGCTCCATCACTAAAATGGTTTTTCATAAATTCCACGTAATAATTTTTTTTCTCTATTTTTCAGTTTACAAAAAGACTTTGCTCTCAGGCCCAACTACACAACACTCTTAGCTCACCCGTTCTTACAGACGCATCGGGATTGCGATCAAAGCTATATTGCAGACTTTGTCTCATCCATCCTCGACATCGAAGACTGAACTCTCAAATACATTGAATTCTTTGGCGTTTCATAGACCTGTGTTCCTAAGCTCAAAGACTTTAGCCCAAAACTTCATCAAACATTAGATCTGATTCTTAGTTGTGTTCCTTCGATAGTTGAACCATTTAGATTGACGGATTGTGTTTTCTGTCAAAATTGTAGATATTTTTTTTATATCTTTTGTATTTAAGTTTGCATGATTCCGGTGTTAACGTGTGAAGTACAAACGTAAAACGGTGCCTCATGCAGTGTGACTTTTTTGTCACAGTTTTTAATTACTTAATTTATTCATTTGTATAACACAATTTTCTTCAAATTTTTGACGAAAAAACTTATCGATCAAATATTTTCCTTGATTTTCTGAAAAAGCCATAGTTTATTACTGTTTGAAACCTCTGAAGCTTAGAATTTCTTACACTTTTAAGTATGAATGTTTGATTTTAACATATTTACTGGGTCCTAAAAATATTTAATGTCATGCAAGTACATTATCATAAATTTGTCTCGAGCTTCCTTCTGATGAATTCTATGAAATTTTCGTAGCATGAAAGGAAACACTGCATAAAGAGTAGTGCATGTAGGGATGCAGCGAAGAATGTATGATTACACTTAAGGTTTGTGGTGTATTATATTTTGACAAACCGTGCATTTTATTAGCTTTGCAGTTCTTTTTAAAAGGAAAATGGTATACTGCCTCCAATTCAAAGCATACTGCGTACCTTTACCAAACGTTGCCGGATTTCATCAATCAGGTTACATCATTAAAGCAGTTTAAATTCAGCTTTTGTTTCTAGAAAATAAAAACTGTTTTTTTCTACATGAGACTTATTTTGCCACTTGATGTGGCTGTTGCTTTGAAAGTGTTATCACTTTAAAACTTTATGCTCTTTAGCTGGCGGTTTGAGGCATATTTTTTAGGAAATTGATTTTCTGCACCAAACTGAACTGAAATAATACCAATTCTTTGGTCAAAAAGAAAGTATTTCCCCCCACAAAAAAAGTGGGAGTAATGATGGGCCACTAGACAGGGCAAGTATTAAGGCTCTACGAGGGGGCTCGCCTCAAAACACTTTGTGGTTCAATCCCCCTAAGGGCTTTGCGCCTCAAGCATTATGCGTTACTCTTTTAATTCCATATTATCGAGTAAGATAAGATGGTGGATTTCTTTATACAAATTTTATAGCAGCAAGATGGGATTTCTTACTCAGCCTAGTGGTATGTTTTTCTAGTTTTTATCATGTTTGTTGTAAAGTTTCTCAGTTCATCAATAGTGTGCTAAAAACTTGAGAGAACTTGAGTGTATTGGAAGCTTTTTGCATCAAATTTGTTGTTATTAATTGAAAAATTTAAACTGCCTGTGCACAATTGATTAGGTAGAAAATCATTGTAATTTTAAAGGAAAACTTTTTGTCCAAGGTTTTTTTCTCATTAATCTTATTGCCAGTTTGCAGTGAAAAAAGACTATAACTGCCCTATTCCATTATATATCTATGAAACCCATGAAAAAAGGAAGAAAACCAAACTCCAAGGAAGAAAAAATCATCAAACTTATTTTAGTCAGGTTATAATTTCTTGTAATTCAACCAAAATTTCCAACATTTGTCATAGCATTCCTACTCTACTTTTTTTAACGGATTTGAACTGTGGATTGTTAGCAAGCTTAAAGTTGATGAACAAATGCTCTTGAATTTTATTAGTGTTATTTGTACTTTTTAACTCAGCATCATTGTATTTTACCTCGTAAGTTAATTGTTATCTTTTAGTTTTACATTTTGTCCGTAGCATAGAGGAGCGATTTGAAATTTACGAATGTCCCAAGTTGTCAGTAATGTTAAACATTTTTAAGATAATAGGATGTTAATTGTGTGATGCAGAGAAAAAAATTACTGGAATTGTGAAAATTTCTAACTAAATTTTGAGAAAAAATATTTTCTCAGTTCATTAATCTCAGAAGCTCTTGTTTTTATTCATGATGCAGCTGTTTGAAAACAACTCTTGCTGCCTGTGGCATTTTTTCTGTGAAGTTGAAATACTATCTATTTTAAATCGTAAGTAAGGAGGTGATTGTACTCTTTTCAGGGTGTCCACAGATTTGGAAAACAGGGAATTCCATCAGGTCAGGGTAATCAGGAAAAGACCGGAAATATTCTCAGAGTGCCTTCAATGGGTTTCAGGCTTTTTAAACCAGATCTTTTGTATGTAAAAATCAGCGCTGTCCACAAAATCAAACTGAGAGGATTTAGTTTCAACAAAGGATTGCACTTTTAGTTACCTGAATGATTTAAGTAAGCTTGAAGGAAAATAGGTTCGCGAGTCTCTGTCATCTGCAGTGAAAATAATGTCAAAAATATTGTTCATTTTTAGCTCAACTTGTGCAGATTGTTAATGTGAAAAGTCTGGAAATTTTGATCATTCACAGAAAAGTCAGAGAATTTGGTCCTACCAAGTTTGTAGACACTCTAGTTCTGAGAACGGCAAAAGCTGCTATCACATCAGCAGTCCCGAACATACAGTCAAATGGTGTGCGCATGTGCAGAGACTGCAGACAGCAAAACACTACTGTCGATTGTCCACTTAGTTTGTGAATGTCATTAATTGTACAGTCGGACTTCTAATATGATAACAGCTAAACATGTCTATTTTCCATAATTTTGCTGCAATGTGACGTGTGAGATTCAAATAGCGATTTCGACCATATTTTTTTAGTGAGCCGAATGTTTAAATTTACAAAAATGGAAAATTTCAATTTCTCCTTTAAAGTTGAAATCTTTAATGGGTTCTTCGCGTTCTATCTTAAGTATCGATGAAAGTACACATTTTGTGGCGTTAGATTGTCATCTTTCTTTAGTGTTCCATTTTTTAATGAGAGTCTCTGCGAAGAAGGAAATGAAGCGTTCTCGTTTTGATCTTTGTATGAACTAGCGCAGATGTCTTTAAAATACTAGGCTGGAGTCAAAAATTTGTTCTCTTCTTAAAGGGTGCTTCGCAAGATCGCACATTTTAAGGAAATCGTAAAGTCCTTTGTATTTTGATCCACCCGGAATTCATAAATTCCCTCGAATTTGTTATTTATCTAGTCCTACAGCTTCAACATTCAAGTGCCAAATTATGCAAGAAGGAATATTTAGAAAAAATGTAAATTATGCTTATTGTCCTTGCATAAACCATTCATGCCATTGTAATTAATTGAATTATTTCCTCATAAAAGGGGGGAGGGGTCCAGTATGATTATGCACAACGCATTAAGTGACATTCTTGAAGGTATTATGATTGCATTACACAGTAAAATTCAATTACTCTCCCAAGATAATTTTTTGCACATTAAAAAAATAGGTTTTTTATTCCTTATTGGTATTAATCGGATGAGCATGTTGTAATAAAGAGACGCAGGGAGGTCACAAGTACTAACATCTCAAGAAAGTTAATGAAAATCACCTGTTTGCGGTGTAAAAGTTCAGTTATAAAAAAAATTGTCCCACAATGGAACCCTAGACAAGATGCAAAATTAAGGATTTTGATCTATGTTTTCTCATCAAAATTTCATGTAGAACACGATTATTGTAGCTAACATAATTGAATCAGTGAGAACGAAAATTAAAATTTTGAAGAGTTAACACCTACCAGAATGCTTACTTAAATTCGCACATTTTCTGTTGGTTCATCATTTCAAGCCTGTTGCATCACACTCTTGACTTAATTGTAGCCCTCAGGAAGAAAAAAAATGAGTAAAAACACACTCACTGCCACGAAGTTTTGCAAATCTGTTCTGTTCCGTACCCCCCCCCTCCTCCTATGAATAAAGCATACCAAAATTCTTTGCTGAAAATGACACTAGAAGCCTTGTTGGTTATCTTCTCATTGCTGTAGTTGCTTTTTGGTTGAATTATGTATTTTCTCGCTTTTGTTTTAAAAAAAAAGAAGAAAACCTAGCGAGGTTGAGTTTTTAAATTGTAACTACAAATTTTCACATTCATGTTTTTTTAAGTTAAAATATTCTGTATTCAGCCAATCAACTTAGTTAGAAAAACCCTACCTACTCAAAACAAAATCAAGGACGTTTAACTTAATTTGGATGGTTCCCATTCACTTAATGTTTAAAATTAAACGGTAGACGTCATGTTTTATTTCATTTTAGCCAATGATATCATTGTAGAAGTGGTGGTTCTGTTAGTTATAATTATCAACCAGTCAAAATGTTACTTGTACCTCCTTTCAAGCTAATTAAATTTTTGTTTTTAATGTAAAATATGAACATTTGAGACAAGTAATTACTTAATAATTCTCTCTAAGAATCATTGAATTAGTGCCCAGTCCTGAATTAAGATATGCTGGTCATGAGAAAAGATAGTTGATAACAGTGCAATTTTTGTTGAAGTGATGATATTTTATTGGTTTATCTATTTTTTTAAATGCTTGTTAGTTTTATAAAAAAGAATGATGCATTTGGTTTTGAAGAAACTAGGTGTAGTGAGGATGGTTAAGTAAATCGTTCAGTTAATTTGAACATAAGTATTTATTGTAATTCGATTTTTATAATTTTCAGATTACAATCAACATTAACAAAAACCAGGAAGATTATCTCATGTTGCGAAAGTGAACAGTGCCTCGGTTAATTGTTTTTGTGTCTATATTTGCCATTGCTCTCAGGGGACTGAAGGCAATGGTTGCCGCAGTGTTTTATTTTTTTACTTGTGTCAAAGAAAGTTCTGGATCATAGATAAACCTTTTCTGTTTTCCTTTGTGTAGATACTCATATAGAAAAGAAAAAGGAAAAAAAATCAAAACTTGTGAAATAAATATAGAAATCCGTCTCATCCCCATATTCTGGTTCTCATTCTGACCCTTATTCGCTCCAGGGGTGTGGTCTCTCCACCCACCACATTTACAAGCAACTGTGACTTGTACGTAGTAATGGATTATACAGGGTTATTCAAATGTCCTGCACCACCAGCATCAGACATCACATCTTGACGCTGTAAGTCGGCAGTCACATAACTTGGTTTGCGACGTCGCAGACTTCCTTTGATACCTTATTTTTTTAACAGAAAACTACTCAATGGCCATTCTTTAAAATTGCCATGATTTTTCTTCTCTGTGCGAAGAAAATTTTGCAAAAACAAGGAATCATGTCAATGTGTTCTTTAAAGAAATAACATCCCTAGAGGCAGAGACATTCAGACACTGCAAACGAGATATGTGATTGCGAACTTAGGTACACTGTTGACATGTAACCTTTGAGCAAATTGAGGATAGAGGCTTGGAATTTTCAAGTGCTCATAGGTCAAAGGATACGACTTAGGGACCCCCTAATTTTAAGGGGATCACCCTGGAAAGGGACAAGAACCATGAGGGCAATAGAAGTGCTGTGGGACTTTTGGATCACCCTGTATTACTCCTAAGCTTTGACAATTATTGATCTCCCTGTGACAGAATCTCCTCGATTAATTAATTTTGTAAGGAAAAATATGTGAGTACGTACAATCCTTAATGACCTTAAAATGTTAATGCTGAAATTTTGAATATTCAGGACTCAAAATTTTAGGGCATTTCATTCAATTTAAAGTAATTTATCAGAATATTAGTTTCAGGAAACATTATAGCTTGTTTTTTAGATCCCTAGGAAATTTAAGAGTAAAAAAAATGGCTTCATCCCTTTTTTAGATTTTCAAAAATAACATGTTGCCTCTCTTTAAAATTAACTTGTCTTGGCGTCCACAGGTACATTCCATAACTGAATACTTCAGGGGTACAAACTGTCCTAGGCCTCCACAATTTTCTGTAATGCGCTGGATTTTCGCAAAAAGGTCAACACAATGCGCTGATCAAAATTTTCTTGAATTTTTAGTTAATATCAGAATAAGTACCATAGTCGCATTATTTCTCAAGAGTTGAAAATCTAAAATCTGAAAAATCAAAATAAAAAAAAAAAAAATTCTCAGCCTCGACAATTTTTAGGGCAATTCCAAAATTTGGTCGTGACCACATGATTAGGAAAATTTCGTACCCCTGTAATACTTGAAAGAGGCAATCATACTTCATCGCCCAGTAATAAGTAAAAGCTTGGAGTAAAGAATAATTTATTGATGAAACAAATCTACATACATATTTACAGAGCCCTTTGAATATTGATTAAAAATGGCTGAACAACAATTAAAATGACAGTCTCTCAACTTCTTTAACAAGATCCATGTGATCAAAACTATCAGGCTTCATCGTGAATTTTTCTAGTAATTTGGTGCGATGGGTATCGTTTTCACCATAGTATAATTGTACTTGATTAGCAAGACACTGAGCTTCAATTGCGTTTAGGAAGTTGGTGTCATACTCCCCATGCAGCAAGACAATACCCTTGTCTGCCTTCAGTTCAGTGTAGTAGGTCATTAAGAGGCATTCCGGGGCATCAGCTCCATGTGTTTGGTAACTGATCAGGGGTGTAAAGTGAATCTGCCCCGAGTCAAACTGAAGGAGAAAGAATTCGTAACCTTGATCGCGTGGAAGTGGAAATAAGAAGACTGGATGTTTGGCGCTTCTTTCCTCAATAATGGAGTAAAGGTGCGCAGGTACAGCGGCGGCAAGAGCGTCTTTGCCTTTGAAATATTCCTCCCAAATTTTCTTCACTTCGTCAGCACTTTTGTCCACAAGGAGCTCAGTCTTCATGATTTTGCTGAGCTGCCGATTACTCGTCTGAGAGAGTGCTTCACTTTTCAGCGGGGCTTTCGCCTTTCCAACTTTTAGTTCTTTTGACTTATCTTCCTTAGGTTTTGAGCTGGGTTTGCCTGCCTCAAACCTGGATACAAGTTCTTCAGGATTAGTCTGTTGAATGGCAGAAATTTTGTGCGCATACTTATCAAAGTACGGGTTCTTCTTCAGTTCTTGTTCAATTTCTTTCACTTGTGAACTTAGGTCTCTCGCGGGTTTGGACATTATAGACGGAAAAAGTTGACTAAACACAGATCTTCTAGCACAGTTTTTATAGAAACTTGTGAATATGGACATGACCGCACCAAAATTCCACTAAAAGCAGAGAAACACTTCTAGTACTCAAAAAAGCATGCTGCCCGAAAGTCTTTTTTCAGAGTGTAAACAATGTACTAACCTAAAATAGTTTTTGTTTTCATGCGATCAGCTGCTGTTTGTTGTGGTAGGTCTAACTAACCTAACCTGTCAAAATGGTGATCGCAGCATTTCCAATAGCAAAATTAGGTGCTTTATTATTAAAACAGCTTAGTAAACCAATTGCTAATTATGCTAAAGAAAGAGCAAAACATCATCCCATCTTCAGGAAATACGTTTGCATGCCTCCAGCACAGTGTGAGTACCCAAACCCTTAGCTTGACATTCGCTGGTCTGGGCCCAAGGTTGAGGCCAATTATTTTTCTAATTTGAACTTGAAATGTGTCTTAATACACTTTTGTTAATTATACTGTAAGATTTTGAGTTAGATATTTGCTCCAAAGTATCCAGACAGTTAGTTAGTCGCTAAGCGCACTGCACAAAGGCTCCTCATGATGTACCAAAGTTTGCCACTTGACAGGCTATTATTCATTGCCTTTTGGCGCAAATGAAGGATTCCCCAGCAGGGGTAGTTTAGTTTTGCAGCATATAGGTCACTCGGCTCATCAAATTTGTCAGGAAATCTAAGTTCGCATGCCATGGACAAAATTCAAACATTTTACAGGTTTTAGAATACTTAGTGTCGATAAGTCCACACGCATCTCTTTTCGAGATTTTGCTAATCTACAATTTACTGCTGAAGATAAATCTGATCTTGCGATCAATCAGTCCCTCTTTAGGTAATAAAAGGGGGTTTCTAAATTGCTGTTAACATCATGACTTTCGTAGCCGATTCCTCTTTGCCTGCCATACTAAAATCCAAGGAAGACCCTGTCTACATGAGCACTGTTTGCAGAACTTTAGGCGAAATTGTTTCCGGAACTTCAGGCACATTAACTGAGGAAAATTATGATAATTTAGCCATTGCTTATTTTGCAAACCCCATCATCGGAGGATGAAGTCTCGTCTAAAGTTCATGAAGAGAAGGTAATTCCTCTCGTATAGCACAAGCCCCACCATGCTCACCACAGCGAAATACATTATATTTGCTTTGTTACGTTGACGTACTATAGTGAACACTTATGAGAGTATAAAAATGAGATATTGAAATGCAATCTGCAGCCTGCTGCCGAGCATAGATACGTACCACCACAATAATGCCTCATCTCATAGAAGTAAGCTTCTTGTATCATGTATACCACCTATAAAGGCAATTGTAATCTGAAACTGTCTCAAATTAACTTGTTTTCTATCTTTTCCAGTTTACAATTGGTGTGAGGTGAAGATGAAGATGTGGGTTCTTAATCTCGGTAAACCTGTCTCAGTACCACCCCTCAACGAACAAATGGCAATAGAATTAGGCGCCAACTTATTGGGTGAAACCATTATCTTCACAATGGCTGCTGGTATTCTGGTTGCGGAATACAGTAGACAAGTGCGCAAGGAGGCTGCCAAGGAGACCAAAAGGCAAGAGGAGATCGATAACATGTGCTCTCGACTTGACGAACTCTACTTCCAAACACAGGAGCAACGTGCTCAAATCTACGAACTTACGCGATCACTGTACGATCTGGAAGTCAAAGTGAAGAAAGTCAAAAAGCCCCCTCCACCTCCTCCTCCACCGCCACCAGCATTCCCAACACATGTTCATCCGACAAAGGATAATCAGCCTATTACTCCGCAAATACCAGAACCTGTTGTCAACCCTGTCAGTAATAATAGTCATTCAAATCTAGGTATCATATCTAAAGCTTTAAACTATATTAATACAGATGTATTAGCTCTTAGCGCAGTAGGACCTGTCAATGATTACCGATATCCAATTTACCCGCAGCGGTCATAATGATGAAGTAAGTACTTGACTGTTAAATGATGACTAATAATCAGTTTTTCTGTATGTTGGTTGTCAATGTTATACTCAAAACAGAGTTGCGACAGGATAAATGTGAGCTGTTGCCTTTTTCTGACGAGTAGCATGCAATATTCATTGTGCTCAGAGTGCCTCATTTCTGAATAAGTCTGTTACCTTGGGCAGATAATTTTATTCGAGACTTTTTTTCTAAGACTAGTCGTAGAGATCAAAGAGACTACTTTTGCAACACAATGAATATATTCTGGGCAATTAGACCCTTGAACTGTGGTAAATTTTTTTTAGTTTTTAAATATGGTACGGTACACTTTTTCCTTTTTGATTATAATCCGCGTTCAGAAAGTTATGATAGAGTATTTTAAGACTAGATTTCGTACATAAATATGTACTTTGTTTCACAGGGAAAAGCTTAAGCATACTCTTGAATCAGCAATCTTGTGCACTGTGAAATAGTAAGTAACAAAACGACGGTGGAACTGGAAAAACACTTATCTCAGTTTGTGATGGTGTGGATGTCCTTTCTCAATTTATTTTTCATATGGTAAAATACACAACATCATTTCTTTAAAATTTTCCTGATTTTTCTGTTTGAAAAATATACCATGAAAATTATCTCAAGCAATAGTGTTGGGTCCTTCTCCTTTGATCAAATTTTGGAGTGGGTATTTTAAAACACCGCAAACTAGGTTTGCGTTTTTGCAATTTCACCCTTAAAATGCGAAAAACATCCCTGTTAAGAATCTTTAATACCTTGTGAAGATCACCCTAGCTTCATAGAATATTGCTTGAATTTTGATGAGTATCAGATGAGAAATTGATTCATTGAATTTTGAAGCTTTGAAATTCTCTGTTTTGATCAGTATTGAACTCAAGCATGAAATGAGAACAAAAATGTTTAAACCATTAATTTCATTTGATGAAAATTAATATATCATTTCAAAGTGAGCAGTTTTAGCTTACGAATTGAAAGGCAATCCTCTGCCGAAATAACTATTTTATTTCATCAAATAAGTGTTTCTCCAAAGTTGAGTAAATGCTCCAAAAAATTTTTGGTCTAAATTGATACTTCAGAAAATTCTGGATCAGAAAGGACTAACAAAATTTCTGTGGGGAAACCCAACTTTTTTAATATCATTCTACCTTGAAGAAACCAACTGATTCTGTCTTATTGTAGATGATGCACTCATTATTTGATACTCATCATGAGCACCAAGTCACTGAAAATTTAAACACTCCATGCTCATACAATTTTCACTCTTTTTCCTGTCTCTAGCCTCTTGCCCTTAGTGCTTACTGTTGCCAAAGTGTCAGTCCGGTAATACTGATACAAAAGGTGTCAGATGCAATTATACATCGCTAGTTCAGAAACAGAAAGTTGTGTGAAGGAAAGAGCGTCATGTGAACGTATGATTGTTTGTAAATTTTTCCGTCAATACTGTTGAAAAGCAGTCTAAATTTCGTTTTTAAGAATCGCTTAGGATGAGAGTAGCACTGTTATCTCTGCCCAAGATCTGATTTTTACAGTCAATTGAAGTCAAAATTTGTCTGTATTTTAGTGTCTTCCAAAAAGAAGTACTTACCTTTTCCCTTATTTTTTCTGACCGTTTTTTTTTGTTCCAAAGTAGTTTCATTCTTTGAACTATCAAAGATCAAATGAGACATACATCTTTTACATCTTGTTGTAAGATTAATGGTTTATTTTGGGTTCAATCAGACAGTGGAGGTGAACTAGAAAACCTTGCAGCTAAGTTTGCCATGGTCAAAACTTCTTGCCCCTTTTTACTTAACAACTTTCACTTCCTACGCTAAACCTGTATGACATGATTTTAAGTTAAAATAGCAATTTTAGTTCAAAAATCGCAAGTCTATCATCATTTTTACTGTGTGCCATTAACGTTACAAACTTTCCTCCTCTTACGTTGAAACTTGAAGAAGTAAAAGTTAAGTCGGTAAAAAAATTAACTAGTGTCAGAACTTTTTTTTAACATTTATATTTAATACTTATATTCACAAACGAAGTCTAGTAGACAATAAATTTTGATCTTCCATCCTGATGTTCATCTTGCCCGTATTTTCAAGTATTTCAATCATCACTTCAAGTTATGGTATCGATTTTGGAATAAGTCCGAGATCACCGAGAGAATAAGGTGGTACTTCGCTCTTGATTGGTTGCAAGGGTGGCTGCTCTTTGCTGAAACAGTTATGCAGTGAAAATGTATAGCACGCTCTTCACAAGTCAAAATCTTAAATTATGTGACCTTTTCGACACATGTACGTCAAAGCCGCATTCAAAGCAGAACAAAACGGAATATCTAGTCATCTTGAGAATCGGTCAGGCATTCATTCAGAACTTTTAAGGTTTTCGCAGTCACAACATGTGTTTTCATGGTAACTGCATTTAGTACTTACTGATCGTTATCAATGGATAAGCTGCCCAAATTAATATGGTGAATTTAAGAGAAAATAATAGAGATGAAGGCCAAATCACCAGTCAGAAGTCAAGATAATTTCCTTTTGAAAATTATTTATATTCTAACTTTGTTTAAGTTTTTTTTTTGATCTCAATGTAGTCAGATTTGATGATTTCACTTTTTTGAATACTTTTTTGCGGCTTAATTTTATCTTTCATGATGAAAAAGGAAAGTGCTCCTCCTTTTCTCATTCACACCTACAAAAATAGAAATCGTTGTTTTTTTGTAGTCAAATGGGCTGCATTTTTGGCATGGTTTAAATTGTTTACTCACGTTCGATAAGTACTGAGAGCTCTGTCTTGCGGGACCTCAACTACTTCAAATATGTCGAGCAAAGTTCGTAATAATGTGCCTCTCTTGTGCACATTCAGAGCCTGATCCTTTGTGGGTTCTTGTTGAATCTGCAGAAGAATTGGAAATGAAGTTTTTTGATTAAGTTCATTGCTTATTATTTCTTATTTCCTGTAATTGAAGGCACTGCATTTGAGACGCGGAACTCCCACAGTGTGCCATTAGTGCAGTACCTTCATTCTTCACTACAAAATTCTTTTCTCTTGTTTTGAATGTAAGCTTGCTCAAACGAGTGGAAAATTACCATAACCTTTCTGCCATTTTGAGTACTCAATTGAACTATTTATCTATGAAAATGGCCTTCAAGTGAAAAACTTCAGGAGTCTGGAAGATTTTACAAAAGAACAGTTCAAGGAGATTTGATTCTTAGTTTCCTATGAAAATAATTCTTCATTTCCCCTCAACTAAGTCTAAATCAAGTTTTTAATTGGAAGCCCTTGTTCCTCATGATTATTTATGAGCTTTTTCATTTGTATTTTGTTATTGTTTTTTTTTATTTTTTTTTTAAAGAACGCGTTAAGTTTTAGTACTTATACTTTTTTGGTCATAAGAGAGGATGGAGAAACTGAAAAGATTTGGAGCACTGACATCTATTTTTTATTTAGTCTCTTCAGTGTTTTTCGGCGGCTCTAAATTTTTTTCTGAAAAAAGTCTCTTAAAAATTGTTTTTCTCCAAGAACTAGGAGGGTAGTCTTATGATGAGATTTTTTAACAGTTACCTAACTTGTAATCCTCCATTTGTAAAATATTTTTCTTTGTTATGATTGATAAGAATGAAATTGGAACTGAAAGTAATTGTGTAAATAAAATGCCTCTCTGTGCAAATGTGGAATTATTTTGGATCTGTCATTTCGTCTGGCCTATAATTTGAAAACGTGGTTTTTGGGAAAACTTCACAAAATGTTGGTGCCTAGAGAGACATCAGAGGCCAAGACTTCTATTAGAAAATCAAAGCAGCCAAAAAACAAAGTTAAAGTAATTTGTCATGATGTCTAGTTGTAGCCCTATTGACATCTAGTGTATCGAATCAGTCAAGTGAAAATTTCTGGTAAACTTTGACTTCTAGTCAAATAAAAAAAGACCCTGTGCAGTGCGTTTACCTAAAGAATCATTCATAGAAAAAAAAAAAAAAAAAAAAAAAAAACTGCAAAAATTTAAGAGGGTTAAACAGGATTTGTCTACAGACAAAATTATTACATTTCATCATTCTGTAATTAATGACTGTGCTTCCTTCATTGTCAAATCCTGTTATTATTTCTCTTAATGTTGCGATTTTTTTTCTAAAAAATGATTCTATAGATTCATGTGTAGGTGTTATCTTTAGCCTTGAACTTTGAGCTTGCATAAATTTTTGACCTGCTTGTTGAGACATGTAGAACACCAGTTTATTTTCCACTGGGTCCCAGGAAAAATTACCTTAATTTTCAATATCTTTAGTGGCTTAACCTACCATAAATGCTTCTTTAACTGCACGGACCGCCTGTGAAATTGTATCTTCAAGGAGGTAGTTCCTGGATATAATCCTCAAAAATTCGCTTTTCTGTTGATTATTTTCCATTTTTAACATCTTCAATTGTTCCTCAATGTTGTATTTTTCCTTCTCTACAAATCTCTTCTCGTTCTCAACTGATTCTTTTTCATGCTTCAGTGACTCGGTTGTTTTCACCAAACGTTGATATTCCTTGTTTTGTTCACTCAGAAGTTGATGCTTTTCAGTCAAATCATCTATCACCTAAAATTTTTTGTTAGAATATTTTATTATGCAAGGCCACTCAATTTTAAGTATAAGCTTAAGTTCTCTATTTTCAGTTCAATGATCAGTTTCAATGATTATAATCGGGGTGTAGGTAAAAAATGATAAACTTCATTCAACCTCTCCAGAATCAAGTAGCACAGTGCAAAAAAAAAAAAAAAAAAAAAAAAAAATTGAATTAATTTTGCAATTTATCTTATGCAATGAAATCGTGGGTTTTTCACCGTCAAATTGCAATATTTTTACATCATTCGGTCAGAAAGTGCCAACTTGAATGAGGAAAGGAAGCAATTTGCAATGCAAGAAATAAAATTGCAAATTATTTAAATTTTATTGCAGCAAATCTCAGTGAGAGGAGCACCTCCAATTAGCAAATAGGCAACTCGTGAAACACTTCTATACAATGAAACATATTTTACTGTTTAGGTAATTGCAATTTATTGCAACCTGTGCTACAGGATAGTAGGAACAAAAACGTACAAGAGCTTTTAAAATTAAAAAATAGAACATCCTCAAAAACTAAACTGAGGTTTTCTCTAATTTTAAAATATCAGGGCTGCCAGCAGCTTTTGATATCTTGTTGAGTTTTTTATCATACTCGAGGTTATAATACTCATTCCAGTATTTTCATATCTGTTGATTTTACTCTCACAAATCCTATTGTTTTTCTCGATCTAACTTCTTTTCTTAATGCTCAGAATTACGGAAAGTGGGATTCTGATAAAGGGAGAGGTGCTGCAATGGGAGAAATGACTATTGAAATTAATGCTATACCCTTTTGTGCTCACCTTATTCTTTATTTTATTACATTTTGTGAGTTTTAGTGATTCGTCTGTCACGATCTCCAAGCTTAATTTTAACTCTTTTTCTTGGCGTTTTAGATGCTCTAATTTTTTCATACACTCATTCCATGCCTCTATCAGAATAGCCAGCTGAAAAAAAAAATAATTTGCAGAATTAAACATATTTCTTGAAGAAGCCTCTTTAAATTTTGGATCTCATAATCACTTGAAACCTAATATCTCAAAAATCTAATTTTTTTAAAGAATTACTTCGTATCCTAAGATAACTTTCTTATTTATGAGGAGAGGTCATAGTCTCATACATATGATATTATATAATTACAATTAATAATACAAAATAAAAATAAATGACAACTCGACTCTTGATACCTCCACTCCCTAGCTCTATTTCAACCAATTCTAACAATTTTTTTAAAATTTTTATTAGTTAAAAAGTGATCGAATTTATACTTATGGGGAAAACTTTATCATAGTAAAAGTTGTACTTAACAGAAATTATTTCTCAGCCTTCCCTTCAAAAAGGTTTATACCTCCAAATTTGTTTTCATCTTAGTTCGAGGGACTTCAAGCAAAGGAGAAAATATTTGTCTAAAAATTAGTACTTAAATTGATCTGATTTCGGTCCTTACCTCGTTATTCATCGAAATATTTTCTCTGATCACTCTTTGGGTTGTTGCGGCAACTCTCATTTGGGTTGCATTTTGGAAGTCCAAAGATAATTGCAGCAGTTTCACCTCGACGTCTTTTTTCAGTCTGAAAAAATGTATAAAAGTCATTTTCATTATCAAAAACAAGATTCTAACTTCTATTCTCACACATTTGTGATACGTAAAGGTAACACCTCTTAAATTCTTAAGATTTGCCTCCTTAAGTAGGAACAATTAATCTAACCAGTTTTTAAATTTTTGCCTGAAAGGACGATTAATTAATAGCTCTGGAAACTATCACTTACTGATCCTTGCTCACAATAAATTTTCTCTCTATGTCATAAAGTTCCTTCTTGTGTCTGATCTCTTGATCTTCAAACATTTTTTCTTGACAAGAAAATTTATTCATCAGATCTTCTTTTTGAATTCTGAACTCCTCCAATGAACTCAGTTTCCCGTCTGAAAGGAAAAAGTATAATAAGATTATTTATCAACTAAATCTGTGCTAAGTATTTTTCAGAAGCTCTTTCTTCTGATGTGACCTGAAAAAACGTTGGATTCTGAAGGCTGAGCTTTACATGACGTTGCGTTTTTGCAGACTTCCATTGATGCCTTTTTTTACTCATTAACTGGAAAACTAAATCAACAATTTTTTTTTAAAAATATTGCAAAATCTTTCTTCCTTGTCTAAAGAGTAGGTACCTTTTCATACAAATTTCAAGCGATCAATTTGGTTTTGTTTTCCTCTAAAAAAGTAGAAAAAAGGGAGGGGCAATTTAGAAACACTGCTATTGAGATGCTGGTTTCTGAGTTCATATACCTAACCATCGATATTATACACCCTTCAATACCCTTAGCAGCTGAGTCAGCCAAGGCATCAATTTTTAAACAAAATAGTAGAATTCATATTTATAGGTAGTAAGTTCAACTTTTGTCAAAAAAGAAAAATACAATCCAACTTTTTACTTGATTTTTGAGAGTAGAAATTTTATAGTTTCGAGCAAAGCTTTATTTAAAAAAAACACAAGGATTTTCACCCTAAAATATGGATGTTAGATAGTTTTTGAATCTTACTTAAAAGTTTGATCTCTGCATTCAGCTGCTCAAACATTTCTTTGAATTCTTTATCTTTCTGTGTGATAGTTTGTTGAAACTCACTTTGCTCCGCCTCTCTGGCCTACAACAGTTTTTTTCAAAAAAAAAAAAAAAAAAAAAAAAAAAAAAAAAAAAAAACCAAATGAGTAATATTGAAATAAATTCATGAATAAAAATTCAAAATATCTACTTCGGAGAAAAATATCTCCTGAACTGAGATACAAAAAGATATTTGTTGGGATGGGTTTGCACTGCAGATGAATATAGCATATCACATCCGTTAATTTAACATAAAAATTTTGGAAATCGTCTCTTTAATCATATAGAGTTAATGATTTTTTAAAGGAAGTTGATCATTTTAAGCACTAAAACTCTCAGATCTAAAGCAATTGGTATGCATGTAAAAATTATAGTTACCTGTAGGTATAGTCTTTCCTCTAATAAGCACATGAACTGTTCAAAATAAAACAAAGTTACCTACAACAAAATTATTTTAAGATTTTCTTCAAAAAGAAGGCTCTTTGGAAAATGTCTGAAGCTTCAAACAAAAATATCTAGGCACTTTTTGCGATGGAGAAACCATGCAAAATATACTTTTTACCCGCCTTTTCATCGGGAAAACTTACCTGCTCAAGTGCTAGAATTCTATTCATCAGTTCAGCATTCTCATCTACTTTCTTTTGCAAGGTCCGTTTCAAGAAGGCTATAACATCAGCTCTGTCTTCATCTAGCCCATGCATCTCCGCCCTAACATTTTCATTTTCTTTTTCCAGTTCACCAGCATGTGAGCGTAATCTGAAAAAAGATCAAGAAAATATCTAATTAGATATCTTAGTTAACTGATTTATCAGGGGTTTCCATCATAATGATGGCTGCGTAATCATTCATCATTTTTATTTTTCTATCAGGACATTCATCTTTCATACATACCAGGGGCTACGCCCCCTGAGCGCTTTGCGGTCCAACCCCCAAAAGCGCCTTGCTTCTCTGGCGTTATGTGTTAGGTATGCATCACACAATACTCTTATGGTTTGAAATTTTGGATAAAGTTTGATAATCCCAAGCAAATTTCCCTCTTTATTTTTTCACTTTACTTACCTTGTGAGCTTCTTTGTAAGGTCTGAAATCTGAATTTCATAAAATTCCTTATCAACTTCCGCGATATCATCTTTGTCCTCCTTTTCTTGTTTTTTCTTTTTTCCTTTTTTCCCTTTTTTCTTCGGCATTCTTTATTCGCACCAATTTCAAAATACCTTTCGAAGGAAGACCTCCGTACTCTTTGTCAATTTATTCTTAACACATAGTTTTAACCATCAGCCTTCATTATCATTTAATTCACACTTAAAAAAATTCATGAGTAGTAACAACACCTAAGTCATCTACTCAGAATTAAAACATGTGAGCTAGAGTTACTTCTATAAAATCCTCTCATTTTGCAGAAAACAGCACTTATTTGACCTCCTTGCCTGGAGAATTTTTCATTTGAGTGCCGCATGTTGATAAAGTTCCCATGACAACATTTTATGTTGATCAATCACACGAGAATCAACATTTAGTGCTTGCTATTGCTGTAGAAAATGAATTTTAGGATTCAACTAAAGAATTCATCCAAAATTTTTGCAAAACTGCACATCAAGTACCATTATCAAACTTATATTCTTAGAACTATCCAAAAGTTCTATCCATGAAACCCTCAGAACTACCTACCTATATAATTTGAATAAATTACAATAATATGTTACAAATCTGCATGGACATCATTATCCGATGCTTCATTTTATCGATTCAGATTTATTCAGTCATATGGCTCATTTGACTCAATTGGTGATCACAAAATCCTAAGAAATAAGTTCCGTAAGAAGGTCGCAAGTGCAATATTTTACGGCTGTCAGGAAAAAGAGCGCAAATTTAAATAAACCGCCGAAAGTTTCTATAAGTAGCCGCCGGGAGCGCTATTTTTCATGTTTACATGAGGGGTTTTCTTTTTTTGATCGGTAGATCTGCCTAAATCCACCGATGGAAATCCATCGGCCGCCATTTTGGTACGAAATTGCCCGCGATCAGTCGGGAGTTTAAGAACACACTTTCCACCAATGTAAACAAATGGATTTCTTCCTCTCATCAAACCTTTACCGCAATGATACTGCAATAGTGCAAATATATACTCAATGTACCAGCATTAACTCCTTTTTTGCTACAAATAAAGTACGGGGGAAAATTTCACTAAAAATATTACATAATTCAATACATAGGCGACAATGACGATCCAAGCAGAATCATCAGACTCAGCGACGGCGGGAGGCGCGAAATACTCACGATTTCTCGTTTGTTTGCTTGTTTTTGGCCTGAGATCTGGCTGAAGTAAGGTTAGGTTGTCCACCGGTGGAGCTGTGATCGGAGAAATGACCGATCACTCCGATCACTGATCGGTGGTACCAAATCCACCGGTCGTACTTCCACCGGTCGTGACGTCAGCACCGACGGATCAATTAACGAACACAGTTTGGTGATCGGCGGTACCACCGATCAAAAAAAGAAAACCCCTATGGCATGGCGCGCACGTTTCTAACCTCAATTCCTCAACTCTTATCATTTCATTCAATTCAAATTCTAATGAATTTTGCAATCTTTCAGTTCAAATTTCGGCATCAGCTGCTCAGTCAATGAATGATTTAAATTCTCGTACATTATGATCGTTGATATCGTCTGTAAGCTGTTCCCCTGAGGTACGAAGTCTTTTAACCCCAAGGTTTTCATAAATGATCTTCCAACTAACAGTTGTAAGCCACAGAAGCACTTTCATTCAACATGGATTCTCCAAACAACAAGAGAAATCACAATGACAGTCCAACCTCTAGTAATTCTGGTAAGTTTTAATAACTACAGTTTGCATCTATGATAATTCAACTTCTTTCTCTGCCAATGATTATTTAAAGTCGAGAGAACAAGATGGAAGGAACTGAGTATTCGAAGCACCGAAATGAAGCCAAGAGCCAAGACGATCATAGAAGGAATGAGAAGAATTGAGAATCATTACTCACAAGCTCATCGACGGTGTAAATCGGCAATCAAATAACTCAGTTTGCAACGTAGCAGACTTCCTGTCATACTTAATTTTTAAGCAGAAATCTACTCAATGGCAATTCTTACAAACTGCCGTGACTTTTCTTCTCTGCGTGAAGAAAATTCTGCATGAACTTTAAGGAATGATGTGCTGTGCTGTAGGAATGTAGATCAGCTCACGATCAATTGGTGTGACTTTCAACTACTTGTACCTCTGCGCCCAGTCAACGTTTTTACCTTGAATTTCTCGCACGTGATGCTGTGCCAATTATCGGCCATCTAATTTCTACCACAATCTTGTGTTGTGAACATAGATTGCTGTCCGCTTTCTAAAGTCTCTATATAGTTTGCACTCCATGAAGGTGTCCCATTTTGGAAATTGGCAATTGGCATATCATCTAATAGGATTGATTAAAGCTAAGCGATCTCATCTGATGAGCTAGCAGATGTTTACCTTTGACTGTCTTATGCTGTATGATTTAAATGTCTGCGTATGGCGAGGACGCTCGAGTGTGAATCCTCAATTGCTGTAGCTTGCAAACAAATCGTGAACAGCTGCCAACTTATCTGATTCAAGTCTTACAACTGACCTGCTGTGTAGCAGTTCAGCCAACCACTTTTGTAGGAAATCTCAAAGATTTTTGGGTTGCTACTACGGTTATGGCCTTAAATCAGAATTTCAATTTGTTAGTCTTTTTATGTGGTGCATTGTGTTATTTTGGTTGAACGGAAAACGAAAGTTTCAGTAACTGAGCCACTTATCTGCGGCAGCTGATAGAGAATTTCTTCCTTTTTTTAATCCTTTTTTTCTCAGTATTTTTTGGTTCTTTTAGTTTATACGGATTTTGCTATAATTTTTCTATCTTCATATTTTTTGATGTGTTGGAAAAGCAGATATACTTTAAGAAATTGTTCGATGTTCTCATTTTGTAAAAAGGACATTTTCCAATTTTGTTAAACATTTTCTAAGATAGCAGGTGGCATGAGAATTTTCTAACTCCGAGGATGGGATAGCAAATACTGATCTTAAGTTCAAGTCCTGTCAAATTTAAAGCTGATTTTGCCCTAAAATGTGTTTCATGCATCATTTGTTTGATTTCAGACCTAACACAACAAGGAAAGAGACCTAAATTGAATGATTGCCAGTATGGTGAAAAATGTTTCCGCAAGAATCCTCAACATTTCCAAGAGTACGCTCATCCTTATTGTAAGTGCAAGAAGTATAACTCTTTACCTGTCTTATTTTACAACACGAAAAGTGGTGGCTGAGAGGTGGTGTCAGGTAAATGACTCAGCCAATTGTTTAAGGGTAAATTGGCTTCAGCAAAGGGTCCTCTGAATGTGTCGATATTCCTGTGTTTCAACCCTTAAACAGTACTCTGCTTGCTAGTTGTAGTCTAAATCTAAAAAGCTGGTCAGTACTTCAAAGAGCTACAAGGGCTTCGTAGTTGCCGCCATCTCACTGCGTCATCGTTTTGATGCCATAACACAGCAATTGCCAGTGCACCATTAGTGTCTTAGCATTGAATTCTTTTTACGGGCAAATCAAGAGGTTAACTTGAGGATCCAGGCTCCAAACTGGAGGATGAGAATTCGATTTTAGAGTGCTCCTTTCCAACTCCTCTTTTCAAAGTAATTTTTTATTTCAAATGCCTGTTTAATGTTGGATTTGTTGTCGTGAGTTCCTCTCTTCAATTTATTTTGCCACTTCATGAATTTTTTTTATTTTTTTGTTCAGAAATATCATTTAAAATATCTAAAAACTTTGTCCAATAAGCTAATTTTTATAGTATTGATTGTGTATCATATTTTGTTTGCAGTAAATGATCTTATTGAACGATTCGGTGATTCTAAACTACCTGACAACCATCCATCAAAAATCCGATTGAGCGATCTTCGAGCACAGATTGAAATTGTGAAGTCTTTGAAACGAGCCAAGCCCAAACCGAAACCCAAACCAAAAAAAGATGAGCCAGAGTCCAGTGGAGCTTCGAATTCTTCAAGTTCCAACTCAGTGAATTTAGAAGAATTTATTCATCCCACATGGAAACTCAACCGAGGAAAAGTGAAGAAGAAATTGGCAGACTCAAAACCGTACAGACTCTTCTTTTCAGCGATTAAAGACTCGCCTGAAACTCATTCTGAACCCTTAAGCATATCTTTCCAAGGTTTGTATAGGTTCTCTTTTGCGGTACTTTTTACTTTAATGAATAAAAGCAGGAGTAAAGGAAATACCTCATTCCAATGTGACACAAAAAGGTACCCCTGCTGTATCTGAAATTAGACGGCCACTTGACCGTGACTTTTAATCACCATGTACTTTTATGCGCTATGTTTTTCTGTCAATTAGAGTGGGCCTATCCTCTAGTGCTGAGGCTCAGAGGAAGACTGCCGCGATAGCAAAGAGAGCAGTAAGTGGATGCTGACGAAGTAAGTAACGTAAGTAGTTTCAGTAGTCAGTAGTAGTTTCAGTCCGTAGTTTCATGATGTAAGTGCATGAACCTCGAGACACATAAAAGCATGCGTTAATCATGGCTCATACAGAAATGTACTTATTGCTCTCTTCGATATCATGGCAGAAGAGGGATCCCATCAACTGACTGTTGCCACGCCAGTTTCATTTAGGGTGCAAATTTCGGAAACTTCAATCATGAACTGTGCAAAAATAATGGCTTGCAGAAACTTAGGGTACCTAATCACAACTTTTGATCCACATCAATAAAACATGCAATAAAAAATTGGAAATCGCTGTTGCCACCTATTCCCATATCTAGTTTGCAGGATCGTTTAAAGTAGAAAAAATATCCAACAGAGAGCAAAGAGTATCCAATTTCATTTCTGAAAATAACTAGAAGCACCTCTTAAAGATTTTTTCTTTTCCTTAATCCTCTAAATTCTTTACAAATCATGAATGAGCACTAATCAAATGCAAGATTGTTCACACGGATGAAAAAGGTTTAAAAAGTCCTTGTGACAGATGTCGGTACTTAAAATGAAAAAAACATCGTTCTACCTAGTAAAATAGAAAGTTAAGGTCCATGCCAAAAGAGTTTACAAAGTTTTAGACTGCAACAGAAGAGGTGCCATTTTGATTTGTCCATTTACTTTCGATGTGAAAGTGACATCAGACAATCTTCTGTCACAGTCCAGAAGTGTGTAAACTCATTTAGCGTTGACTCTAGGGAACTATCTTTTTTATTTCACAAATTTTTAAATGCATTTGTAATTTTATAGAGTTACTTGATAGCAGTCTTGGAACCATAAAAGAAACTTTGCAGATAAATTTCATCGTTGAATTACCATGGTTGCTGGCACAGTATCACATCACTGGAAATAGGTATGAATCAATCTAATCAGGATTTTATTTTTTAATTCGCTATGAATTGAACTGTGTGGTTATCTCCTCATTTTTACTGTAATTGATCTCTCCTGCCAAAGATGGATTCATTACTTTGTAGTTAATCTGAAATCGTTGGAAACAAAGAGGAAAAAAACTTTAGGACTCTTTAGTACTTCTTTACTTCTTACTTTGCTTAATTACCTTTGCCGTCGAATTTTAATGAAACCAAAAAATATCACTAAACATTTTAATAAAAAATGAAACTTAACATTTTTAATAAGTATCATCTTATTTTAACCCCAAAAATAGTACCCTGAAATGGACTGACTTTAATAGAAATGCATCAAGTTGCATCAAGTTTGAACAGAGAAAAAGAGATGTGAGGTTTTATCCATGTACAAGACTCAAAGTTAAAATTTTTTCAGATTCAAATTTTATTTTTCGACTTTGAATTTATGACAGAAGGAGATTTATGTCTGATCAATTCAAAACTACTTCCAACTCATTTCTTTCCAAAATAAGACTTGGTGTGCTCCTGTTAGTAATTAATATAGATCTAAGTATCATATCGACGGTGAAACTACCAGACCACGTATCTCGTTTGCAGTGTTTCAAAATCTCTGCTCCCATTTTATTTTTTTGAGAGAGAACAAATCAATTTTATTCCTCAAGGTTTTCACAGAGTTTTTTTTGCACATAGGAGAAAAATCACGGAAGTTTTCAAAAACGGATGTTGAGTGATTTTCCATGTATAAAATAAAGTATGACTGGAAGTCTACAACGTCACAAACGGAGATATGTGTTATGGTAGTTTCATCGTCGATATACAATCCCAAAACATTGTGTAGACCTACTGTAAGACATTTCTTCGTTTTAAATCTTCTTTAGAACCACTCTTAAGGAATTAAAAAATTCTTTAATTTGAAAAAAACCTTGGTCTCTTCTTGATTTAACTATTGAGCATTATATAACAAGCATCTTCTTTATTTTAAGCTGATTTCTACTCGATATTATAATTGGAATCCAGTGAAGTTATCACTCATAATGCATAGTTGATTTTTTTTTTGACAGGGGGACACCAATCACAATTCTTCACGGAGATGATCCTGATCTCAAAAAAGGGAGCAAACTTCCACATGTGACAGCTGTTTATGTGAAATCACCGATACCATTCGGTCATCATCATACGTAAGTTTTGATTTGAAGATACCGCTCATGAGCTGACTTTTAGGGGTGCAAAAACTTCTCAACAGCACAACTGATTGGGTGTGTGCAAAAAAGGAACGCTGCAAAATCTGGTTTTGAAAGTAGGAATGCAGTAAAAAAGGTCTCTGCCAGTTTGCATAGTGTAAAAATAGTGTGTTTTTTGCTAATTTGCGGCGTTTGTAAGTAAAGAGCAAAAACGTTGAAAGAGGTCTTCTTTTTGAAAATTTGAAGTAAAAGCGAGCTTTTAAAATGAAAAAGCCAGCTCTCTTTTCTCAAATGAGCATTTAGTCACTGAAATATCTGATCTGGCACCAAACGTAAAAATGAAACATTATTACAGTATAGGGTTTTGTAAATTTGATGAAATCTTCAAAGCCTGAGTCTATTTTTTCCTAAAGCAGTAAATTATGAAAGCTGTAAAAGTGTGAATTCTCCAATGACGCATCAATGTAGCAAATTTTTTTAAAATAGTTTGCGTACTCCTATAGTTTGTAAAATTACATAAAAACAAGAGCTGCATTTTGATAGATGTGCCGTATTGCCTTTTCTCTAGATTCTATTTTTTTTTTTTTTTTTTTTTTTTTTTTTTTTTTTTTTTTTTTTAGAAAAATGATGATAATAGCTTACACTGACGGAAGTATCCGAGTCAATGTGTTGACAGCTAATCTAGAAGAAACTGATTGGGAAAATAGATGTCAAGGGTAAGTTTAAAATTTTTTTGTTATGCATCAAAAATTGCAAATTAATCTAGAGGCTTGATGATTTTAGGGAACCTAGATGAGCCCTATCAATTCAAGTAAAGATTAGCCATGCACACCCCATAGACCAGGCTAGAAAATAGAATGATAATTTGCAAGGACTTCAACGCAGCTACATGCATGCTTGTTGTCGTAAATATCCCAAAGCTGTAATTCTTACCCTCACAGATAGATAGATTCTATCCAAAGTCTTGTTTCTTCATACCGGTAAGGCCCTAGAGCACACGCCCACAGCAAGACCATTAAATTCATTTGTGGTTCACACCATGTCAATATCTAAATTAAAAAAAAAATGTGTATTTCAGATTGTGATATTTCTAGTCTCCGCATATGTTTTATTTTTTTAAAGGAGAACTATCCAACAGTCAACAGTTAGTATTGAAAATTTTTTGGAAACCATCCTCACTCAGTCTAAAAAAATGACTCAAAATTGCTAGGAAACATTTTGACGAGGAATCCTTGAAGGAAATAAAATGTAATCAGAGATTTTTAAACATTGTGTTTAAGATTGAAGTTGAGCTCAACCAATCAGCCAATGTCATTTCTCCCGCGTGGCTAAGCATACCAAAAATGTAGTTTCCAATGAGTCTTTTTTTGGCATTTTCAAAACAGTGTTTTTTCGCCATTTAGTTTTAAAAAAAACTGAAAAATGGCGAGAAACTTGGTTTACTCCGTATATTTAGAATATGGTCTTGAAAAAAATTATTACCACTGGACCAGTGTAGGTAGTGAAAGCTAAAATACTCAACTGTTGGAAGTAAAATTTGTGCCTCTTACAGTACAATTTATTCATATTTTACAATAATAAAATTATAGGAATGATGGGAAATTCTCGGATTGTGTATTAATCTTGTTTGTGCATATTCCCTCAGGGTGTGGATTGGCCCTAAATGTAAAAAGTTACCTCCTGGATCAGATACAACAGCTGGAGATTCAGTCACAAAATTCAAGAAAAATCTCCTTCAGTATTTATCATTCTACAAATCATCAAATTTAGAATCGTGGATTGATAGAGTGAGGAAGGCAAATTTTTCCAAGTACAGGTTAGTAAAATGAAGTTCAATAATTGTATCAGGGCTAATTATCTTTACATAGGTTTGATAACATCTGTAAATCAAAAGAGTTCCAAGAAGTCTTGATATGACAAGCCCTAAGTAATATGAAATATCAGGTAAACAGTGCTCTGCCTTCCCTGGGTACCATGTGCTAAACGTGTCTAAAAATCAGGCCTTGGTGCCTGAAACTTGGTAGGGGAGGCTGTACATTGTAGCACCTTAAAAACTTGCAATCACAAAGCAGCGGTAGTGCTCTCAACGTACCGTTTGCACAGCCTAAGAACAGGGTAGAGACAGAATAAAATTGTATAGCATATGCAAAAAGTTAAACTGGCCCCTTAAAAATTGCGGATGGCTCTTAATAATTAGAGTTTTCGGGTTAAGGTGGTCCCTCCAGAAAAGTGCAGGTGAACATTCAAAATTTGTAAATGAGTTAGCATTATCAAATTTCAAAATATTGCTGTTTCTCAAAATTTTTTGAGGCAAAGGAATGGCAAACACAATGTTTGGTGACAGGTGAAAATAGTAATTATACATTTTAATTCAATCAAATTTTTCTCCTAGTAAAATTGTGAGTCTCATATCTGAGACAGATGGAATGTCATGTTGCGGACACAATATTCATCAGTTTCTCTTTTGGGGGGCTTGCAGAGTATTTTTTACATCCAGTGTTCCTGGCAGTCACATCGGCCCTGCTCTTGAAACATGGGGTCACCTTCAAATCGGCAAAATTCTACGAGAGAACCCACCAGTGCCTTTCTCTGAGAAAACGCATCAGGAATGGTCTGTTATCGCCCAGTGCTCGTCCATCGGATCTCTAGGGAAGGAGTGTAATGACTGGTTGTGCACCGAATTACTTTCCAGTTTCAGCCGCAAAGTTCCTAGTCTCTACTACCCAAAGCTCCATGTGATGTATCCCAGTTTTAAAAATGTTGAAAACAGTCATGATGGCCTCCTTGGTGGCAGAGGTTCGTACCAACTTCATCACATTTTGAATTTTGTTTAGTTCACCCTTATGATTGAAATATTTCATCAATCGTGAATTTTCTGACTTAGTGACTGTAAATTTGTCAAGAAAGGATGGGATCTCCGTTTAAAAATAGTTTTTAATGAACGAGTGGAAACTGAACCGGCGAGTGTTGTAAAAATAGACTTACACTTTAAAGTTTTGGATATTTTTCTAACCAAGCAGCATGATTGTTTCAAAAGTTTTAGAGCAACAGGAAGGTTGAATCATTTTTGCACAATTGAAAATTCACTCACATCTCAGTGAACAGAAAATGATTTCTTCCCGAAATCAGTTATCGGCAACGAAATTATCCAATTTTCGAGAGGGGTCATTCTTGCACCCTTTTATGGGGCAAGGGCAGTGGCCATGAACTTCTGCAGGGTTGCGGTGTACATAGTTTGTCCTCCGTTACATTCGGTGAAAAAACCAAAAAGTTCAGTAAAAAGTTCAAAAAATCATTTTCCAAGGGGAGAAAAAGCTATTTAAATTCCGACCAATCAATAGCTGACAGTTGAGTTGATGTAGCAAAGCAATGCCTAAACATGAGTTTAGCCAATCAGCAAATGCTGTTTCCCCTGCCTGGCTATGTCATCAGAGCTTACGATGAATATTGTGTCACACGGGTCCCATGTTTGGCATTTTCAAAACGGTCTCTCTTTGTCATTCAGGGTTAAAAAAAAATCCGAAACAATTCCATGTACCTAGTTGTATCCATTAAATTTCTCAATTATTGGACCACTGATTAGATGTGAACTTAATAATATGTTAACAGGAAATCGTATAATCATTGATGCAATTGCTGCTCAAAGATTCCATCTGAAAATGCCGAAACAAAAACCCAAAAATGAAAAATAGCGAGTGATCCATTCTATCTCTTGTATCATAACCTTTTTAAGTATTGCATAGCATTTTAATAATTCGTTGTCAATCCATTTTTACTTTGTTAGTTCATCTTTTGTCTTTATTAACATTCCTCTCAGAGTGAGACAAACCATGTTTTTTAACCTATTTTTGTCTCTTTTTAATACTTTAAGTAACGCCATGAAGAGTCCTCAGCAGTTTTTGTGATAAATGAACAGTAGCCAGCCATACATATACAAACGGACTACGTTTCAGTTTTGAGAATACTTGTTTCAAATCTTTTCATTGAAAAAGAATTAGTATGTATCTTTAAGGCAATTACATGTAATTAGATACCAAGGGTTAAGGTTTGTGTTTTTTTTCTTTCAGGTCTGCCATATACTAATAAGGTTCATAAAAACCAGTCCTGGCTGGACAAGAGGCTGTATCAGTGGAAAAGTGACTCAAAGTTTCGATCAAAAGCAATGCCTCATATCAAAACCTATTGCTGCGTTTCTCCAAATCATAAATTCGCCTCTTGGTTTTTGATGACAAGTGCAAACTTGTCCAAAGCTGCGTTTGGGTCAGTTACAAAAAAAGATGGTGCCCTCATGATTCGCTCTTACGAAGCTGGAGTTCTGTTTCTTCCTCAATACTTGGTAAGTTTCTGGATCTTTTTTGCAAGTCGTTGAAAATCATATTTTCATCAAGTAGAAAACAGAAAAATGCAAGACTTCTCATTTTTCATGTTCTTTCCAATCAATAATTTGGGAAAAATTGTGTATAAGCCCTATTATCCCTGCTCTTGACAATTATCTGAAGGAGAAAAATTTCTATTAGTCTCACCGAATGACTTCTCCTAACTTGAGAAGCCTCAAGCTGACGCAGAATTTCATCGACACTTTAGTGTGGAAATGCAACATCTGTCGATGAACTGAAACTGCACTGCTGGCTGATTAGAAGTCCTAAAATAGACTTAAGTGCAGTTGCCATTCATCCTAAGTACCCATGCCTTAGCGCAATTGTTTTTCCCGACAAAATTCGACCAAAAATAGTTTTTGCAAACAATCTTGCTTAGTTTGGCGTACTTTTGACACACTCCAAAAGAAACCTATCTACTCCTATTTTATAGCTTGCAACAAAAGTCAAATTTGTCTCTCATCGATTTTGCCCCTTTTCTCTTTTTAATTCTTTCAGATTGACTCAGACGTTTTCCCACTCGAAGGATCCGGTATAAATGAAGAAAACCTTATCTTGCCGTTACCTTACGATTTACCTCTCAAAAAGTACTCCAACAATGATTCTGTCTGGGATTATGGAATATATAGTGAGCGCTAATTTTCACAGACATGTGAGTTTTGAATTTTATATTGTCTACCTGTCACCATGTAGAGTTTATGCAGTATATATGAAGGTAGCTAATCTGAGTGGACTAAGTACATCAACCAAAAAATTTAGGAGAATCGTATAGTAAAATATTACACTCTAGTTGTAATGTCACTAGAACCTCTTGTTTGGCATACATCAAGGTTAGGTTTTGCATTGTAAGTTGTTCAACTTTATCAGATTTTCCTTGAAGATCTTGTCTATCTTTAAGGATGAGAGGTATTTATCCTTCATCCTTTATCCTTCATCCTTTATCCTTCATCCCTCATCCTTCCTCATCCACTCAGTCATCCATTGTCCTTTGTATTGACTCAAAGGTTTTTATCTTGGGAAAGCTGCCTTGGGCTGTTTTGCGCTTCCAGAAGACCCAACCATGCTGGAAGGTATTGTGAAAATGCTGATCTTCAAGGCGATGCAGCAACCCCATTCTTAGAAAATTGCTCAGAAAATTGGTATTTATTTTTCTCAAAATATTCAAAACTACGTGATTTAATTGATGAGAGGCATACTTAATGAAAAGCAGAAATAATTTTTTGAAAAATAATAGAAAATATTTATTAAACTTAAAATGCCAGTCTTTCATATTATGTATGTAGGAATTTTTGGTTTACTTCCATCTTGATTCCACTGGATGTGCTGGAAGTACTTTTCCGGTGCAAGTACCGAAACCTACACGATGGTTAGCTCCTTGACAATATCCTGTTGAAGAAAAATCATATTAAATTTTTATTTAATTTCAATTTCTCTGTTTATGAAGCAAGCAAAGTTTAGAAGAAATGCTGTTTGAATCACCTGTAGAATCAGGAATCTTTTTCAACTCCCCTGCTCACAAGAGTATTGTAATGATACATACTGCTCTTAAAATCCGTTACCCGAAATTCCGGATTTTATGACCCCTCTCATAATGCTTTCGTGACACAGGCCCCTATTCTTTTACATATGAAAACAGAATGGCCAAATGCTTTTCTAGATCCCTCCCTCTCCCCAAGAACATTACGCATTTTAAACACAGCTCCTAGCTCAACATTATAAGGTAACGCTGTATGACCACAAACATCCATGCCTCTGTATTATCTTTTCTCTTCTTACACTAGAGGTAAGATTAATTTTTGGAAGATATGCTCTGAGGTGTTCATGAATGCTTTCCTCTTACCTTTTAAGATGACTTCATCACCATCTTGCAAAAATTTACGAGTCTCTCCGTTGTTCAATGGGATAGGTTTCGTTCCTCTCCAGCATAGTTCCAACATTGAGCCATAAGAATCTGGTGTCTAGAAAAAAGGAGGAATTGTTAAAGTATTTTGTATCAATTATTTTATTTACATACTCCTGTTAGAGTCTAAGATATTAATGTAAAACTACTTCTATGTACTTAGCACGCGAATTTCTGCATGTGAATTTGGTTAAGTTCTTGACTTATTGCCAACCTCCGTTACAAGAAAACGAATTTACCTTCAGCAGCCTGATCATTGAAACTTTGTATTTGTCTATTGGACAAGACTAAGATGTAATGGAGCTGTATGATTGGTCCATCGCGGCTGCGGATCCCGCTTTCTCGTGCCTTTCTGGGGCCGATAAATCAACAAACTAAAGGCGGCACCCCTTCGGTGACTGACAATCAGTTGATTATCCAGCCTAAGAAAGGCACAAGAAAGAGAGATCCGCTTCCGTGACCAATGAGTCCAACCAATCACATAGCTCCATCACACCATAGTCTTATCGTGTCCAAGAGACAAATAAAAAATTTTAACAATCAGGCTGCTGGCGATGGTGTGCCCACAACAATTGAATCAACGTATGCAAAAACGCCCGATGTCTATGACAGTGTTTCAGAATTCGAGTGGTCAATTTATTTATTTATTTATTTCAATTTCAATGGGACAAGTCCCAATTACATAACATTTAAATAAAAAGACATTATAATTAATATTAAAGACATTAATATTATTATAGAATTAATATTAAAAAGATTATATTATTAATATTAAGAATTAATATTATTATAGACGTTAATATTTAAATACATATTTAATTCCGTTGTAACTTAACGACACAAGATGGTTTACGAGGTTAGAAATGTAGAACAATTTTATAAATAATCCCCCAATGCCGCTATCACACGCTGAATGTGGCTTGAATGTAGAAGTCATTGGCCCAATGCCTGAATTTTGCGCGAAATTCAGCAACGATTCTCAGCGACCATCGGATAATGTCGGATTTGTTTGAACTATTCGAATAGATTTGATACACATTTGGATGAAAATGACTCAAATTAGTGAAAATTCAGCTGTTGAGCACTGACTGTTGACTGCCACATTCAGCTGCCAAATTCAGCTGCCAAATTCAGCGTGTGATTGCGGCACAAGTTGTGATTGTGTGTAATTATTAAACATTTACAAAAGACATGGATCCTATCCAACAGTGTCATGGGATAAAAGAAACCCACGGCAATTATGAAACCCTATATTGGACAATGGACGTTTTCGTATATGTCGATTCAATTGGTTGTCATGCTAGTAGCATTGACACAAGCACATCCAAAATTCTCAATCCACTTCCTGAGGTGGGTTGAAAAGAGGATTGATGCAACTAATGCCCAAAATTCATCAAGCAACTAAGTTTAGTTGGTTTGATTGATAATGACTACGTAATCAACCGGAAGTATTTAATACTCCTTACCTTTGTTTAGTCTTGTCTTTAGCATTTGAGCATTGTTTTTCATCTCACTGAGGCACAGTCATCGGTTCCATTAAATGTCATATTTGAACACTTGCCTAAATCTAACTCCTCCACTTTTACATTTTTTAAAATAGTAAAGAAGCAATTTAATAATGAAAAAGAAAAAAGAAACTGATCATTACCGGTCCACTAATTGTTCCAGATGCCAGTAAGTCTCCTGCATTCATATTACAACCGGTTACAGAGTGATGTGCCAGATGTTGCTTCGGAGTCCAATACATGTATTTATAGTTTGTCTTGCATACTGTTGTGGTGGAACTTTGGCCTGTCAAAAACCAAACAGAAACTGATCATCTGTGATGAGGTGCGTGGAAATAATTTTACATTTAGTAAGAAATCCGTTTAAAACAAGTTTTTCTCATTCTCAGTTGTTTTCAAACCAAAAAACCGCAGTATAGCTCTTAAGTTTTCGTCAAAAAGCAACCTATTAATGTTTCGTTGCAATCATGGCTATCTATTTTTTTCTAGGTTTTTTTATTTTATTTTTAAATCGATGTTTTCAAGTTTCATTCTGCGTCTCAAGGCAGGCTTTATAGTCCTTGCCGTCATATTTCAAATTCATCTATCAGTTTCAAATATATTTATTTTTTGTAATAATAACCTCTCTGATCGTTGGTCGTGATCATAATTTTAATAAATGAACATTTGAATTTTTTTACATTTTACATATTTTTCATTCATTCTGGCTCAGGTGTAAAATTCTAAAAAAATCGGCGCTTTAGGAAAGAATGTTGGCAATCGTGGGTACTTACATTTGATGTCAACCTGCAAATTAATATCAAAGTTATAATTATTCTTTTGCGTTAGGTAAGGGAATGGTGCAGGATCTTGTTTTGTGTTTTCTACAATAAAAGGAGCGAGTGCCTCCATCGTCACAATCCAAGGCGAGATGGTAGTGCCTAAATTTTTTGCTAAGAAAGGTCCAAGTGGGACATACTCCCATTTTTGTATATCACGCGCTGCAAAAAAAGAAGAAAATTATCAGTGAAGTTTGGTTCTTTCGCAATTATTTTATCAACTAATTTCAAGAAATTTGTCCGTGAAGCACTTTTAAAAAAAAGAAAGAAAAATTTGAGGGTTGAACGTCCTGGCAAACCTGGAAAATTCAGGGAATTTTAAAAGACCTGAAAAGTCAGGGAAATCTTAGGGAATTTTGCAGGATGTCGGAGAATTTTTCCATTTGCAGAGAAAACTAATAAGCTGTACTTGTCACTAACGCAAATATTTGGCAAATATTTAGGTATGAACATTTCCAAGCCTCACTGAAATACTATGTCTCTAGTTTTGTATAAATTCAGCAGCGCAAGGGTCGCCTTTCAAAAAGTAGTCAAATAATTTCACTCTGATCTTTTTCAGTTTTCTATTTATACTCACATACTTGCTTCATGTTAAATCAAACATATCCTGACTGAAAAAATAGAAAAGTAACCTACCACTCCAGTCATTCATCAATACCATTCCAAAAATATGCTCCTCTGCATCGTCAATGTGAATAGGTTCTCCTAATTTATTGGGTTTACCCCCTACAAAAATGGCCATTTCCAATTCAAAATCAAGCAGTCTGCAGGGACCAAAAACTGGCGCAGCGCCCTCTACAGGACAGGTTTGTCCATTCGGTCTACGAATCGGCGTTCCAGATACTACTACAGATGATGCTCTTCCATGGTAACCCACTGGAATGTATTTCCTGCAAAAGAGGAATGAGTCAGAGTTGGCAAATAAACAAAAATGCAATGATACTGTAGGGATTGGAAGGAAAGCAGACCATAACCAGACTTGATCAAGGTGTCTACAAGTCCAGAAATAGTACGGATTTTTTAAGGTCGGTTCGGAAGTACTGAAAAAGTGCGGAATTTCCGCAAGGCGGTCCGGAATTTTTTTCATTTTATGTCGCAATTTGAGCTAGAAATTCAAATTTTTGAAATTTTTCCAATTTCGTCAATTGAGGGTGCTGAAAAAGTACTGAACTTTTCTATTAAGGAGGCACTGAATTTCTTGGGCATGTACTGGAAAAGTACTGTGAAAGTACTGATTTTTGGTCGGCCTGTTTTGGTAGACACCCTGTTGATTCCATTATGGCTTTCATTTTTCTTTGTCAACAATTCCTCCTTCACTTCCCTCTAAGTCTTTTCATTAGTCAAAGATTTTTAGGTATTTTGTATTGATACTTTCAATCATAAATTTACTTATTGGCCATAACAGAAAAGATTCCAATACATGTTCAAAGCATGGTTTTTGCTAGGTAAAAATTACTCACCAATTAGGCATCAGAGCATCCTTCTCTCCTCGGAACATTATTCCTACGTTAGTTGCATGGTGGATCGAGGAATAAAAGTCTGTGTAGTCTCCGATTTTGGCTGGTAAATGCATTTCTGCTTGCCATTGTTCTACAAATACTCTGAAAACCAAAGTTTCAACCATTAAGAGTTGTGGAAACATTAGGTGTATTCCTGTTTATTGGGCTACAGGAGACAATAGTCTTGAACATTGAAACTGCTTTTCATTGCTGGATAGGGTAAGTTTCAGTTAGAGTTAATTGGACACCTCTGAACTGAAAGAATACATATCCAAAAGCACAACTTAAGCTTTTTTTCAGTTTGCTCTTCAAAGGTCACTGCACTCTCAGCAGACTATTCTAGAGTCAATTTCAGATTACTTTTTATTGCTGCTCTTTGCTGTACATGCAGGGTAGGGAATTAAATTTCTGGAAGGTCTAATGTGTATCTAGGAGGTATTCTAGATTAAAGAGCTTTGAAGTCGCAGAAATGAGTTTTACCTAAAAATGCAGGAAAGTTTACATTAAAGACGGCAATTGGACCGCGTTAAACAGAAAGGAACCAATCCACATCAGCTATTGCCAAATTTAATCGGACACATTAATTTTTTTACATGAAAACGGTTGTGCGGATTTTTGTGCAAATTTCAGTGAATTTTCTCCATAATACAAAGCAAATTCCTTAAAATTTTCAAAGGAATCTGCATAGACGTTCTCTGGTAAAAAATGTAATTTCCATGTTAAATTTGGCGATAGCTGATGTGGCTTGGTTCCTTTCTGTTTAAGGCGGTCCAATTAGCCGTACATATATTAAGGTTTCTTTTTGAAGGAGTTGTATAAAAAGCATTAATTCAGAAAATACAAAAAAAATGCAACATTCTTTTTAGTTGAAGTTTCCAATTGAGCACCAGTAATGGTATATAATTTTTGATTACCCGTCTTTCACTCGATCTTTATCACATAAATATTCTTGTAAGGATGCACGAGCTTCACGCCATGCTGGTCTTCCTAATTCCATAAATTTGTTCAAGGTTTGCTAGAAATTGAAAAATAGACAAATCTGACAGGTTAACAACATACTGATCAAGTAAAAGTTTTGTAGCCTTTGAATTGGCAACCATTTATTTATCTGTCTAATTTTGAATGAACTCTCTCGTTGATGGATCAGTTTATTGTTTTTAGTGTAGTGGGGATAATGATCTGATCATACGACTGTGCGCCTGCTGCTAATAGCATCACAAAATGTTACCCAAAATTGCATTCAGAAGTTATGCGTCCTAGTTTTCTTCTCTTTTCTTCTTAAAATTCCTATGATAAGAATCAATTCAATCTATCAGAGTTTTGAGCATCTAGAGAACTGTTAGAATTGCAGTGTTTGCCAGGAAGTAAAACTCATGTCAAGGTTCTAGAGTTTCACAAAACAAAAATAAAAGTTTTTCGGCAAATGGACAAAGAAAATAGATTATTTTCGCAGTAGCTATTCCTCCATCTTTAATCCATAAAAATGTGAGTCTTTCTATAATGAGGAAAAAACTAAGTACTAACCTCTAAAAAAACATCCTGATTTGATGAAAGAATCGGGCCTCTGAATATATTCTTTGTAGCATGCAAGTCCAAAATCTGATCACCAATGGCAACTCCAATGCGGTGTGTTGGCTAGAAAAATAGACATGTAAAGTTAGAATGTTTTTGAAATTATCATTATTCTAACACGTAACTTTTGGTATCCAGAGCATGAAATAAAGCTTGGTCTGCACAGTTCTCACGAGGTTTCAAAGCCTATCTATATTAAGAAAGAAAATGAAATTTCCTTATATATTAGAACGAAAGTGAGTGTGAGAACTTATGACATTGCAGAAGAATTAGCAGCACTGATGGATCTTTATTTTTTGACGTTATCAGATTTCAAAATCATTTTTTTCTTTTCGTTTCCAAACTTCACCGAAGGGATATATACTTTGGATGTGAAACAAGATTTTCTTCATTTTTAAAAGAGGCTCTAAAATTTATAAACCCCCTTTTCTCTACTATTGTCTCTACGTGTGATTTTTAGCTACATAGCAGTATGGTGTCTAAAGATCTGAGAGATTTGATCTACATTCCGGTGTGTAAAAAGTTTTGGCAATGATCGTCCCTTTTTTGCACCCTCTTAAATTACTACTTCCTTTTTTCAAGGAGATTTTCTCTTCTTACCTATAAACTAACATTTCATCACAGAGCCACCCTTTAGGCCTTTTTGAAAACAGGGGCATCCTCCTAGCTGAATGTCAGTACAGGGAGGAAGAGTTAATCGAAGGAGGCAACATTTGCTCGAAGGACAAAACTACAAGAAGTCTAAAAAATGCACCATAATTGGTCAAATTCAATCAAAATTGTCCCCTCGAACGGCAAACTCCGAATGCTAACTCCCTTCGTCCTCTCTAAATGGCACTCTTTTTTAAAAAAAATTCTCCCCTTCCCTCCCTCAGGGTGGCATGAAACGTTAGAAAGAATTGAAAGATTGGAAATTTCAGTGAAACATTTCACGGAATTTCACGAGGCTGTGAAATATGTCATATTTTTCAGGGGCTAGAGTATGCAACCCGGACTCAAACACACAAAAATAGAAGGAATTCACAATTTTTACATTTTGTGTAACACGAAAAGGAACCGGTATTTTTCAATATCTTTCATAAACATCTGAAATTTTGTGAAATATTTCACGTAAAATTTCAAGATTTCATTTTTTATGAAATTTTGCCACCCTGCCGTCCCCTCCTGTTCTAGTCACCCCACAGCAAAAGCAGCTCCTCCTTTCTTCATTCTCTCATCTTAAGTGTCCCCTTTGCTTTTCCGCCATGGTAACTTAGATCGAAACCACAAAATTTATCCCATTTTCTCACGATTTCACTTACGTTGTCGACGGTGGAGAAAACTCCGTACGGCAGGTTCTCGATCGGGAACTCCGTGTCGGGCGGGTAGTCTACCGCGCACTTCATCTTTCACGCTGCTCCGAAATACCTGCGAAAACAAACCAAAATGTACCGTGGTCGGACCAAAAACTGCCAACAAACTCAGTTTCTTCACAGGATGATGTGTTTACTGGTATCCCTTCTTCATGGCCAGCCTCAAGCCGCTACCATGTAAAGTATTCTGAGGAAAAAGACCGTATGTACACTCCCACGTTGCCGAACTTGGTCCAATAAAATACGAATTTTCTGGAAAACTTGCTACTCTTTTTCGTGGAATTTTTCACATAATTTTTTCGTGATTTACCTACCCCTATGGCTCCGAAAAATTTTAAGGGTGAATATACGTGATTTTTCCCTAAAATAAATATTTCCCTTTGGTAAATTTGGCAACGTTTGGACGTGGATAAAGCGTTCTTCCTCGGCGTGGCAGTATTTGGCCGAGAGCCAGAACAGGTTCAAATCAGAAACGAAGGAAAATTCTCGCCGGTGACCGCTCAGTGCTGTATCCCCGGGGCGTCATTAATTCCAACTTATCGAATGAATCCTCACCTCGCGACTTGTTGTCAACCTGAGGAGAAAACAACACTTGGTAGGGAAGTTTTTATGGGGTTTTAAGTGAGGTGCAACTTGGCAACTGTGTCGGTTATGGTGGTTGTTTGTTTGCTGTCGCCAACCACCCATGAGTTGGAAAAAAACGGTGTCTTCACGAGCCAAGGTGATTCTTACAAAGTGGTGCCCACCGCAAGTACTACATCGATGCCTGTAGAATACACTGAAGTGAAAGAGCAGTGTTGAGAAAGCGGCAATTATCCCCATCCCGTGGAAATCGAAGTTTTCCGCACCTGAATTGCACGAAAACGCATCGCTTTATGAAATACCACCACCTTCCGGCCGAAGTATCACAAGCGCCACGCGACGTTTAAAAATTTCCACCGTCATTTTATTTTTTTACAGAGAAACTGTTGGTTGAATCTGTTTGGAAATTTCGTTGAATTTTATCGGCAGCTCAAACGAAATTCAGTGAAATATTCGGACTGCTTCGTTGAAAAATTTCTCTCTAAAAAAATAAAATGGCGGCGGAAATTTTGAAACGTCGCATGGCGCTAGTGATATTCTGGCCGGAAGGTGACGGTATTGGTTCATGAGCTGCCCAAGTAGTGCGGTTTTAACGGAGAATGTCTCGCGATTTTATCGACGTTGATTTGTTGCAATATTCTCGGATAAAAAATTGCAATAAATTGCGCTTTATCGCATAAAGCGATAAAATCGTGATTTTACCGACGACGATTTATCGCTATACTATCGAGGATGAACTCGGGATAGAGTGAGCTACAATTCCGATTTTATCGAACGTGATTTTTAGGGATGAAATGTTGACAAGATCGATCTTAGCGATTTTATCGCAAAAAAAATTGTAAAAAAAATCGCAACTCAATTTCTATATGTCGCTTTTTTCCATTGAAAAATGCTATTTGGGTGACTTTGCAGTATTTTTAATGTATAGTAGAGTCTTGATTACCCGCGGTGATCGGGACCGGAACTATCGCGGATATTCGAAATTCGCGGATATTCGACATTCGCGGATAATCCAAAGCTGAGTAGTTCAGCTAGGAAAGGGGATCGAAAAGGCTTTATTTTCAAAGAATCTTTTTAAACACTTGTATAATAACAGACAGGAAAGTAATTGGTGTGGTGTTGGAGGGATTTTACGTCAAGGAAGTTATTTCGGCAACGTCATTTCCGAATGTAATGTTTCATAAAATTTCGCGTCATAAAGTAGCAGCGTTTATTGGCGAAAGCCACTGAGTTAACCGTGGATAATCGAAGCGTGGATATCGGGGGAAGCTCACGCACAAAATGTCGAAGAAAGAAATATTGTCATTATTGGACGCCTCTAAATACACGGGAGACCCCCTTGTGTACTAATTTCAATGCGCGAAAAAATGCGAGCATTCGGTCTAAAACCGCTTCAAAACGCGAGCATTCGCTTAAGACTCCTTCAACTCCTTTAAGTAAATCTCGGAAAGTCACGAGCTTTTGCCGAAAATTTCATTGAAAAGTTAACATTGCAGACACTCCCTTAACTGACCCTCGATCATCATTTTGCAATTGAGTTTTTGACCAAAACTTAAAGTACCAATTCTTTGAAACAGCATAATTTGGCATAAAAAAGTGTTTCATAAGGCTCATTCGTGTACTCTCATACTCATCACTTTTTCTCCTCTGAAACGTTAATTTGAGGTTTGCACTGTGTGAAATATAAAGGCGTAGTCTGTTAACTGCAAGCACTGCAAGCCAAAGTGTAACTTCATCTCTGATAAACGCCCGGTCAGTTCTCGAAAGCGCTGTGACGTTCCATGCATGATATTTTGCGTCGCGTGGTATTGAAGGCGCCAATATCATTTTTACCAATTTATGCCAACGCGTCGCGCCGGCGCCGCGCGCTCACTTCGTCCGAGTCAGTTTTCGCCCGTATTATCCCAACGATACAGTTATTTATCTCATTCATTTAGAGCGTTATAAACTTTATCTTTTTTTAATGATTTTGTAAAATTATCGGAATCTGCAAGCGCCGGAATAGAGATTTGAATGCGTTTAATTCTAAAGGCTCAATTTTAATTTATTCATTTATTTACTTGATTCTGAAGGGCTTATTCGCTGTATTGTAGGAGAGGACGTGTTTAGACATATTTTGCGGTAAATCTGCAGTCGGAGCATTAAGTTTTGCACAGTTTTACGTGTTTTTCAGTTGACCACGGCGATGCTATTTGTCCATTTTTAAACGTGCTTACAATTTATGTCTATACCGAGGCACGCTTCAGTATGCTGGATATTATCCTGGTTAATAAGCGGGAAAAGGCATACCTAATGTAACATAATCGATTTAGAGATATTAAGAATCGACCGTTCATCGTGACGCAGCTACATAGTTGGTACATTTTAGTCGATGATCAATAATTCAGAATTAAGGATAATAAAGAATTCATAATTAAGAATTTCTTTGTGGGTGATAACAATTTAGCGGTGGAAAGAGCGTCACACTTCTGTTATGTAAGTTTCGAACTTCTTATCCCCGTGAACCAAGCTTTTCCAATCGCATCGCAGTTGCAACGAGCGTCTTGAAAAGTTGCAGTAGCGAAAAAAGCCGGTCTTCTCGTCCGTCATTTTGAGAAACCCTCGAGACCGTCAGTGGCGTGACGTGCTTTGCGATAAATCGATTTTTATGCCATTTAAACCCATGGAAAAGGATCGATAAACAGGGTGTTCGCAGCGAACACCTTAATAATCGATTCCTCACCATAGGTTTAAATGGCATAAACATCGATACATCGCAATTCTCGCCACGCCACTGCCGAGTGTTACATTTCGCACAGCCTACAGCGCAATTTCTAATGAACGTGATTAAGCGTCTACTTACCGGCTTATCACAACTGTTATTCTTCGATCGAGTTTCGTCGGAGATCGACTGATGGAACTATTTTGAACGCGTTGAATTGGGCGACTTCTTCGGGAGAACTAGCGGTTCGAACGAATGGAAAATATACTGTAAACAACCGACGAAAACTTGAATTATCTCGCGATGTCATCAGACCAGTTCCAGGGGCTCTCAGTCTGGTGAGCGGATGTGTTACAGTGTTGCCGAGTGGGCTTGAAAATATCCAATATTCCCAAGAGAGGTGTCGTGTTAATGGAAGAACGCTGTTCTTCAGGGTTGCGCAAATGAAATGAAAAGTATGAAATATTGGAAATTTCTGTGAAATACTTCGTGCAATTTTGTTAAAGCTGTGAATAATATGTACCATATTTTCAGGAGCTGGGCATGCAAAACACACTTGAAAAGGCCGGAAAGAAAAAATCATAATTTTTTGCATTTAATTTGGCAAATTATTTTCCAATGTCTTTCATGAATCCATAAATTTCATGAAATATTTCATATGAAATGTCAAGATTTTATTATTCACGTAAAATTGCAACCTTTCGCTGAATGAGCCTTCAGAATTTGCCGTATTTCTTTTGGTAAAATCCGATTTTTTAGGGAATTTTTCTGTTTTCCTTCTTTGAGAGTACCTATTTTTCCCAGCAATGTAGTCTGAAGCATTTGAAAATTTCAAGTCAAAATACCTATTTCTAATTTTTTCCATTTATCAATATTTTATCGAGAGAAACTTGGCAACGACCGAACATATATACAACGTTATCCTTTAACACAGAGAGCGCGTTTGATTTTTACTGCAATATGGCAATCGCGCGGCCATGAATGGTTTTTTAAGTATCATGATTACTGGTTAATTCGATACATTGTAAGCAGGAAGGACCCATGTGACTCAGCGGTGTTTCTTTTTTTTGTACCGTCTTAGGTCAGCTAACATTGTGGGCAAGAGAGCGTTATTGAGTCTCTTAAAAGTCTTGAGAGTGAACCACTGTGAGCCGGGGTTTTGTCTGTAATCAATTTTTAAATGAGTTTTTTCCAACATATGCGCCTGCAAAATGCACATCAGCCTCCGCTTGGATATGTAAATGCCCGGAGGAAATTTTGGACTATTTTTCCCTTTTTAAAGAATCGAACAGCTTGTTAATCGCACCAGATCCAAAGTACTTCAAATAAAAATGCGAAGGGTACTTTTCAAGGAAGGTGTAAATTGTTTGGACTAGCCATTGGACGAAACTGTGCTTCCAACTTGACATAGAAAGAAACAACAAGGGACCAAAATGACAAGAAAATCCTGATGTGGCGGGCGAAGATACTAGAAAAGACGAAAGCTGGTGAACAAATCCTCAATTTTTGCCCTCATCCTATCCCCTATCTTAAAAATCTGAAATAGCACCTCTGTTCGTAGAGGGTCTTCCTCGTATGAGCCGGTAGCATCCCTACGGTGATACCATCATTCCAAGGCGCTATGATACCACTATTTCGACTCTGGTGAGCGCGTGTGGTATACCGCTTCAAATGAAGGCGAAATATGCCGTTATCGAGTTACTGCATGGACTTCGGTGTACATAGCGATGGAACTCCGAGTTTCACTTCGCATATTGTCTCATCGTAATCTCACAAATGGTATACGTTGATGACGCTTCAAAAATGTCCAAATTCAAATTGTAAGTGAGTATTTACAGGGTTGCCGGTGCTCCAGTGGCGTGGCGTGAATTGCGATGTATCGATTGTTATGCCATTTAAACCTATGGTGAAGAATCGATTACCAAGGTGTTCGCTGCGAACACCCTGTTTATCGATCCTTTTCTATAGGTTTAAATGGCATAACAATCGATACATCGTAATTCACGCCACGCCACTGCGGTGCTCTGGGAAACCGTGAAAGTCAGGGAATTTCCAACACATCTTCTAATCACTAAAACATATCGCTGATCTTTCGACTGTTCCCTACCCTTTCTGGCCATCTCCAAGACTTTGCCGTTTGCAACGTTGCAGGCTTCCTGTCATACTTGGTTTTTTTTTTCTTTCTTTTTTTATAAAAAAGCTAGTCAACATAATTTCTTGAAACTTCCTTGATGTTTCCCTCTCAGTTAGCGGAATATTCTTTATAAACCTCAAAATTTAAAGCTCGCGTGTTCCTCCTCGAAAAAACAAAATAGGGGCGGAAATTTGAAACACCACAATGCTGCCGTGCTAAGGAAGAACGCTTTATGAACATTCGAGAGTTGCCAAATTTCCTTCGGTAAAACGTTTATTTATGAGGAAAATTATGAATATTTTCCCCTGAAATTTTCATCAAGTTACGGTGAAATTACGAACAAAATTATCTGAAAAATTCGAAGAAAAATATTCATAAGCTTACCAGGAAATTCGTGTTTTATCCTATGAAATTTGGCAACGCCTGAAGGTTTATACGGCGTTCTTCCTCAGCACGGCAGAATGGAGATACGTGGTTTTACAGCCCCTGTCTGGATCTCCATATTATTATTCACGCACCATACACTTGGCAACCCATTTCGACTGAGCTAATTTCAAGGTCAAAGCATGTCGTCGCTCCGAAGCCCGCGAAAAAAAACCCCATTTCAAATTTTTCGCGACGCTCAGAGGGTAGCTTTACCCTCGGCGCGCGTAACGGGGTCTCCACCCCGAGTTTTTTCCACGGTGACGGACGGTGCGGGTGGGCGAGGGTGCGGACAAGCCTGCCTCGATCAGAATAATCGATCATCGATATTTTTACATTCGAAGCCACGCTTAAGAATCGCTTCCGGTGAACCGATCCTTTTCATCGGTTTAAATGCAGGGTGTCTAGCATTAGGAAAATCCGGAAAATATCAGGAATTTTGGCCGATCAGGAAAAAATCAGGAAGATCGGAAAAATCGAACGTTTTATCAGGAATTTTTCTTACGTGAATCGCCTCAGCAGAGAAAGTCTTATTGCTTTTTGCCTACCGTGCCAGGAGTCGAGAAAAATCAGGATAATATCAGGAATTTTCAAAATGAAAAAATCAGGAATTTTTTATAAAATATCGGGAAAAATCAGGAAAATATCAGGATTTTTCAAAATTAAAAAATACTAGACACCCTGAAATGGAAGATCAATGGATTGGTACCTCAACGCCGAGTTTTTTCCACGGTGACGGGCGACGCGAGGGCGAGGGTGCGGACAAGCCGGCTTCGATCAGAATAATCGACCATCGATATTTTCCCATTAGGAGCCATGGTAACGAATCGCTTCGATAACGAATCGCATCGATATCGAATCGATTATTTTTCATGGGTTTAAATGGGCGATGGATCGGTGGCGCGGGCGGCGGGAGTTGGCGTCGGGGCGCGCACCGGGCACCGCGTATCACCCGGAGAGGCGCGTGAGGGGCAGCGAGGCAGCGACAAGCTCCGCGGGCGGTGAGGGGGCCGGCGGGGGGCGAGGGGGGAGTTATGTCGACTGGCGCGGCGGGCGGCGCGGCAGCGGCGCGGACTGCGCGGAGGCGCGGCGGTAAAGCCCAAGGTCGTTATTCGGCTCGCCATGGCGGCTTGTCGCCGCTCGGTGAGCTTTGGTGGGATTTTATTAGACATCCTCGGTAATAGAGAAAGAAGACGAAGGGAAATGGAGCGAGCTTCTTGGTCGGAGAGGGTGGTTATAATGGACGAAGAAGGGAAGTAATAGATTAGGGGTGCAAAATCTTCCGGACCAGCGGGCCGATTATTGAAACTGATGGACAAAGCGATAGACAAAGAAGACATAGGGAGTATGGAGCGATCTTATTGGTCGACATGGTTGGTTCCTATAAACTAAGAAAGAAAACTATGGACTAACTGTCGGGTCTTAGGTGGGTTGCCGTTACTCAGTCCATTACCCACCCCCCATGTCCATTGCCACCACCGGCTTCCACCAATAGGATCCCTCCAAATCCCTTTAATCGTCTTTGTCTATAGCTTTGTCTATCAGTTTCAATAATCGGCCCGCTGGTAACCGGGCGGGTCGCAGTCGGTCCGGGACGATCGGAAAGCCCCGAAATTGTGTTTTCAAGGGGGAAACCCGGCAAAATTTCATTTTGTTGCCAAGCTGCAGTAAAAATCTTGTGTATTTCGAAAGGAAAATAGCAAATGGAAGGTGTATAGCAATTTATCAGGGTTGCTACTGTCAGGGAGTACCGGGAAGACCGGGAAACGTCAGGGAATTTGAAAACGTCAGGAAAAATGACGAAAATGTCAGGGAAAAATCGTTAAGTCATGATTATTTGCGTTCTCGAATGGTGTGAAAATATCCTTTCCTGTCCTTCTACCTTAGTTCTTTTAGGAGAATTTCATCTTGCCACGTATTCGTAACACGCCATTCTTTGCTGCGTGCACTCGCGGATTGCGGACAAGAGTGACCGAAGCGCCTTCCTGTTTCTCATATGCAACACGCACGTTCATCGAGTACGAATAGTTGTACCAAGGCGTTATGATCAACAACATTGACTGCAATTGCTATGTTAACTTGATATATTGGCATAAAAAGGCTCGCCCTGTCTTATTCTACCTGAGTGTCGTTTAAAAAATAAAATTATAATGCGTTTCCATCAAAAGATGCTAATATTTCGAAGTTTTTCAATTAAAAAGCAACTCCAACTGATCTTTTTTTTATTTTGCTGGATACAATTTCAGCATTTGATGTTACTCGGGGAGTAAGGCTGTTGATGACTTGCTGGCTCTACGATGTACAGCGATCAGCTTTGATTCAGCGCTGCAAAGTTAATACAAGGTGTATCCATGCCACGTTTTTTCTCGGTAATTTTTGGTCAGATAATGCGTGGAACGGAAGAGTTGAATCGGAAATGAACCCCAGGAATCGGACTTTCAGACTTCATGGTTTCGAATTCTCTCAGCGCCCCTTAAGGATGCACCCCCAATTAAACCCCCCGGTCTCAACATCAACCAATTCAAAATAACAGCAAAAAAGTCTGAATTGAGTGATCTGGAACACTTGAATTTGCAACCCTGTATCACGACTGATCGCTAGATCGTAGCGTCAACAACAGCCTTAATCCCCGGGTGACATCTAATAATAAAATTGTAGCCCAGAAAAAAATATTGATTGTATCATTTTCTTAATCGAAGAACCTAAAACTATTAGCAGTTCCAATAGGAAAAATGCAAACTTTGCAATGTACAATTATTGTACTGCCAATATGAGCATGAGCTTTGAATATAAGCTGAAATTTTCATTTGAGGATGGTCGCATCATAAGGGTTTGTTTTGGGGTGGATCTGAACGAAATCCCCGCGTTTCCAAAAAGAGGAACTAACAGGCCCTCTTTCTGACTGGCTCTTTGATTGCCTCAATTTTTTTTTGTAAAAACGGCTCAAAATTTGGACGCGGACATACTGTCCGCGTTCCAGGTTCAGAGGCTGAAAGTTCAAGGCGTAGCATCCGGAGCAATCGAAGCTACGGCTCCAGCACCCGGAACTTTCGGCCTCTGAGCCCAGAACGGCCGGTATGTCTACATGGCCCGTAACTTTGTTTCCAGTGAAGAAAATTTGTCAGCCCCGAAGAAATTCCACACTGAAAAAAAACTCCGGCCGTGGAAGCCGTACTTACGGACTATCTTGACATACCGTCTGCGATCCGGCTTCAGAGGCCGAAAGTTCCGGGCTTAGCACTCGGAGCAATCGAAGCTATAGCTCCAGCACCCGGAACTTTCGGCCCCTGAGCCCGGAATGGCCGGTATGTCTACACTGCCCGTAACATTTCTTTTCAATGCATATTCGGGCTTTATAGACATACCGTCCGCGATCCTAGTTCAGAGGCCAAAAGTTCCGGGCGTAGCACCCAGCTACGGCTCCAGCACCCGGAACTTTCGGCCTCTGAGCCCGGAACGGACAGTACGTCCAGTGTCAGTAGCCCGTAAATTTTTTTTCAGTACATGTTCTGCTCATGTGCACCCCTTACTCCCTGACACACACACCCAAGGTCAGGGGCGTACTAGGACCCTGAAAGGGGCTTGGGACAGACACTTCGAGCGCGCCGCCACAGGGGAATGGGGGGGGGGGTCTGGTGGGGAGTCCGGGGGTCCTCACCCGGAAAATTTTGATAAGCAAACCTTTTTAGACGCAGTTTTAAGCCATACTGAAGAAAAAGTAAATGAAAAATGGTTTCGCATATGCGAGTCACTTTACGTGGTTTTAAATGAGGAAAATTGTACCACAAGATCTCAGCACCACCTTCGGCGCACCAACCTGCCTTGTTCCTTTAGGTACGCACTTGTCCGGAAAGGGGCGCCCTGTCTCTAAATAAGAAAGCATGCTCTCTTTTAACAAGAAGGCGCTTTCTCACATCTTCATTGTTGCATGATTATTATTATTTTTTTTTTGGAAAGCAGTAGGGCGTCAGGGCGCCTGGGCGGGAGGGTGCACCGGGACATGTCCCGGTGGGCCAGTACGCCCCTGCCCAAGGTTCCAAGGTCCAAGAAAGGAAGTTCCATGCGTCTGTTGGAACGGCCGGGGTAGGATAGCGTGTAAACGTCGAGCTCCGAGGCGGAACGGTGGTCGGTGTTCTGGGATGATGGGCCGGATGTGCGGCGCTTGGCGGAGCTCCGTGGCTCCTTGCACGAGGAGCGCGGTGGCGCGGTGGGACGCGGGCGCCGGGCGTCCCGTGGCTGCGCGGCCGGGCGAAGCTCGCTCGCACGGCACCGGCTCTGCTGCGTCACCGCCCGGCGGAGCATAGCACAGCGCAGCACAGACGCGGCCGCGAGCCGAGTTGGAACACAAAGGCGACTGCGACTCGGCGGCGGTGGAGCGCGGAGCCGTCCGGCGGCCGCCATCGCGGCACGAACCCCGTTTCCTGGAACCGCGGCCCGAAACACCGCAGCTGCCCCCTCCCTCCCGGGCTGCGCGGTGGGCCGACGCGCCTCGCGCCGCGGCCGCGCCAGTCTCGGCCGCTGCACTCGTCAGTCAAGGCGTGCGTCGCGTTCCCATCTCGAACCCGCAGAGCCCGGACAAAACTGAAAATTCTCCACCCCGCGTTTTACCCCTTCCTCGCCGCCCTCTCCGCGGACCTGGGCGCGCCCCCGGCCTCAACCCCGAGAGCGATGTCCAACAAGAGCTTCACCGACCAGGAGGACGCCTGGCTCTGTCAGCTCATCTCCACCAACCCGGCGCTCTACGACTCCAAGCTCGCCGAGTACAAGAACCGCACCATCAGGGACAAGACCTGGGAGGAGATCGGCAAGACCCTCTACCGAAGTGGTAAGTCACACTGACGAAACGACAGACGCGGAACACGCGCGAAAACACTACCCAACCCCCCCTCCCCATCTGAGATTGAGTCAACAGTATCAGCGCAGCGGGGCAATTCGAACTCGGCACTAGGTTCCCGCCATTCACCACTAGGTTCTCCGTCACCAGGGTTACCAACTTTCCGCGAACCCAATCCTCAGAGGGCAAGCTCAACTTTTAGCGCGAAAGTTAAGAATTCAAAAGCCACCCCCTCTTCCCTCTTTTGAGCTGTATTCGCGATTCGCGGTCTACCCTCCTTTTGAGCTGCATTCGCGGGTTTTATTCATTCATCGTCTCAGATGCGCTCACTATCGACTTCGCTGCAGATCGCAATAGCAAATTAAGTTTATCGCTCCGCGTTCAAGTTTTCGGTTTTGGTTGACCAATTCGCGTTTTCGTTCGCTCCTGCGAACGAAAGGAAAAGCGTAAGCCCATACTCTCGACTCTAAAAGCCCTGCGGCATCAAAATGACTCTCCGTAACTTTCATCGCACACAAATTCAAATCATGCTCGAAAAAACCGAGAATCGTCAAGATTCTTCAGAACCTTCAAGTATCCGAAAGTTTGTGGGGGAGGTGGTGTTATAAACCATGGATTTCCTCTTTCTTCGCTTTAGCATCGTACTATTTTTAAATTTGGGAGTTCGCGTTGACTTAATTTAGAAGAATTAGACAAAGGATGAAAAAATGCTAGTCCCTACATGAGCTCGGATGAAAAACCCACTTTTTTCAGACGATAGTGTGTCGGAAAAGGAAAACACGACTGTGAAGAGTCCACGAGTGCTAGTACTCTAGGAACTTATCAATAAAAAATCAAGCACCTAAATCCCAACTTATAAGCTGAGACTTTTGCATCCATCCCCCTCTCACCCGAAGCTGTTATCGCGGATTATTTTGAAGAAATCGCTTATGTGGGCGACCGAGAAAACATCTCGTCGGTGTCGGTGCAGACTGCAAGTGCAAGTGGCGGGTTTCGGGTTATCGCTCGGCGCCACGAGGAAGCTTTCGCGCTCCGCGGGTTTTTCGGATCCGCGAAAGCGCGGAGCGGCGCGTCGAGCCAGCGAACGACCCGCGGCGCGTCGAGCCAGCGAACGACCCGCGGCGCGTCCGACGTCTCGCCGCCGTCGCGTCGCGACGGCGAGCTGCTCCCGCCGATGCGATGAACTTTCAGCTTCCCGCGTCCCCAACCGCCGCGCTTGTCCGGTCAGTAGGTACCCAAGACAATGGTTGCGGGTCTTCAGGTTTCAGCCGGAACTCTTAGGTATATACTTTCTCGGATGTTTTTTTAGAAATGTATTATTTTTGTAAGCGTGTGTAATTACTGTAGAGGGGCTTTTTTTTATTACTTTTTTTTTCATACCTAACCGATTTTGCTATCTTATCTTGCTGTTATCTGCGGTGGTCAGGAGGTACTCGACGCAGTGGTTGCGGGTCTATAGATTTCAGCCGGAACTTTTAAACGACTTATTAAATGTTTTTTATTCCAGTTGGCATTTTTTCATTAACTGAATACTTTTTAATATCCTGCACATTGTTTTGCTCCCCCCCCCCCCCAAGGGGGGGAGGCAAGCAATGGGGGGCATTGCTTGCCTGGTACCGGACAGAGTAATATGAATCCCTAGATTTCAGCCGGGATGAGTTGTCTTCTTAAAAATCTGCTTTTTCAGGAACTAAGCGTGTTTTGTGCTCGTTCGAGATGCTTTGACATCAGCCGAGACTTTTATACGACTATTGAGTTGTCTTTTTGAAAATATAATCATTAAGTAAGGTGTACTATTATTCTAGTTTGTTTCTTTACCGAGTACTTTTTGATAGCCTACTGTTATTGTTTTGATTTGTCCCCCTCCACGCGTGCCTAGTGATACCGGGCAGAATGATAGAGCTCTTTAGTTTTCAGCCGAGGCTTCTTACGATTTAGAAGAAAAAACAATTTATCTTTTAAACTTTTTTTTGTCACTTTCTTCCAAATATATTTTTGCAATAATCGTCCTGTACTCTCGTTTGTTTTATTCGGCAACTGATTTATTTTTGGTGATCTGTTCTCTCTTCTTCATAATGTGAAAACTCAACGTATTGATAGTCGGTCTCTGGATTACAGCCGCTGATTTCCCTCACTTTTAAAGTTTTTTTTTTTTTTTTTTTTTTTTTTTTTTTTTTTAATGTAGCCCTGCCTAACCTAACCTAACGAATGAAGGGTTGATTTCAAATGTGTTTTCGCATCATCGTTTCTGATAGTCTTAGTTTCTTTCATTTAGCTGAGTACTTTTTGACGTTTTGTCGCTGTAGGTTTTTGTTTCTGTGTGATTTTATATTGTTGTCGTGTTATACAACGTCCTTAAGAGTTGAAAGAGAGCGAAATTATTTTGACACCCCGGATTTTTTTTCTTTCTTAGTACAGATTCCTAAACGCTGTGCTCGTTTACAAAACGTGCCCCTTTGTGTCACGTGTAAGTAGGTCCTACCTTTTACGTGAGAATATTTTTGGACCCTCCAAACGTTACGTCATTTTTCAGACTTTGCTCAGCGCATTTTGATTGCGTTTGATTTCCGTGAACCGCACATCTACAAATAAATGTTAACTCAATTCCGTTCACAATGAATATACGGAGCGATTGTTTTATTTGCATTACTTATTTCATGTTCAGTTTCGGTTACTTTATTTAATAACTGGTTGCCCCCCCCCCTTTTTTTTTTTGATGGCCTTTAAGTTTTAAATAATTGAAGTATTAATTGTGATTCACCTACAGATTACACATTGACATTACGTAGGTAGTCAGTGGGTTGGTTTCAATTCTGCACGACACTCTATCTGCAGCAGAGATCTCATACTCATTCGTTTTCGTGAACAGTTTTACCCCTTTATATAGTGTTTTTATACTTATTATTCTTATATTTTTTACCATTTTACTTTTTATCCACACATTCTAAGAAAGAAATATGCCACATTCAACGTTCTTAGACCACTAAACGTACCTACGGGCCGCTGCCCACGTTAAGACGGTAATGTTGTTATCCAGTTAGAATTATTAAAGCATTATTTTGAAAATTGACAATTTTGCAACAAAAATCAACAATAGTATACGTCGTCGGCACGATAGGCAACGCTAAAATTAAGTTACGGTATATAATAGAAGCAACCATTATTCACCGTCGAATCCGACGAACACAATACAAATCTCATTTCAACTCCTGGATGCAACTGTTCGGGCTCCATGGATGTCCCTGTTGCATACGCGCGGAATAGAAGGCGCTCCAACTGTTCAGGCACTCGTTGATTCACCTGCGGCGCGACGCCAACGCGCATAACGGCGGGCTTTTCCACTAGTACCCAAAATGGCGGAGCGCTTTCAATTCTTCGTTTATACCACTAGGTAATCTCCCAGGCACGAATAGTAGCATACAAGCGCAGGGTGTGAGTGTTTTCCGTATTTCGATGTGCTGAGCATGATTAGTATAGCAACTATTCATGCCTCAGAGATGTCATGAAAGGATAACTATAGAATTGAAGGCACTCTGTCATTTTCGATCCTAGCGGTAAAGCCCACCGTACAATGAAACGAGCATTTCACAGAAGTTGCACGTGAACTTGCCAACTGCAACTGCAAGTTTGCATGTTAATTTTTTTATATTATTTATTGTGAGGGACGTTTCTTGAAGGAAATTTTACGAGAAAATCAATGAAACCATTTCTAAAACCTCTATGTTCAGCATTAACGTCGATAAGAGCTTTTACTGTTTCCACATTTTGTAGGTATGACTCCTCTCACTGATTCACTCCTTAGAGCGGCGTCGGTATGTCTAAAATCAAAACGCCTTCACGTTTGTGCGTATGCAACACAGACAGCCATGGAGCCCGAATAGTTGCGTCCAGGCTTTATAATGAAATTTGTTCAGTATCCGTCGCAATGCTTGAAGCATCCCCGTAGGTTTGTAGGCGCATGCGACACAAATTGAACTTGGACATTTCTAGACCCACGATTGACTTTTGGCTGCTGTTCACTCGAGTTTCGATCTGATTTTTTCTTCGATTAGGTATATCAATGTACGTTAAGTTTGTTTACGGTCAAATGATTGCGTCATCTTTCTGATAATAATTGATGTTGATTTCATCAGTTTCTGTCATCGGTGCCTCTGCTTGTACGACATCGTTGACATTTTTATCCAGGTGTCAAAATACCCAACCCAAGTACTGCGTCAACAAATTCTGAAAGGGAGGGAGAAAATGACACCCCCCCCCCCCTTGCACTCATTTTAGAGACTTCACCCACTGGAAGAACTCCATGTTCGTCTAATAATATTCTTGTTCCGCGAATTCCGGGAAAGTTGAATGAATGACAGGTGGCAAAAAATTGAAGTGCGTGCTATTTTGACCTTGGGCGAGGTGTGCAGCCGCAAGAAAATTGTGGAAATGTTTCGGTTTGCTGAGACGAAGTTTTTTGATTCGCTGAGTTTCCGTCGATTTTCCACGTGACAAGCGTCATGCTCGTGCTTACTCCCTATCAGTGGCGTGGCGTGCTTCGCGATATATCGATTGATCTTCCATTTAAACCTATGGAAAAGGATCGATGAACAGGGTGTTCGCAACGAACGCCTTAATAATCGATTCTTTACCATAGCGTCAAATGGGGATATATCGATAATCGATCATTCACGCCTCGCCACTGCTTCCCGCCCGGTTCAGTTCCCCTCGTGCACCCCAGGAGTGGATTAAATCTTGCATTTAGGAACTACAAATTCTAGCCCTGGTAAAAATTGGGAGTAGAATCTGTGTTCCAAAATACCATAGACCTACAGCCGGCTGTAAGATTTCCAATAGCTTCTATAGCCGGCTGCACAATTTCTTATAGCCTCTTGTAGCCGATGGCGATTAAGCAATAGCCAGGCGATAAAGTGTATGCTAAACGTTACTAATTACGGATGCTAGGACTTAGTGAGTTTTTGGACTACTGCTCTCTTTTTGGGCCGTAGCAT